ATTATCAGGAAATAATAAACAAATCCCAACTATCCTATAAAATCACCAGTAGATAATTTCCACAAATGTCAAGGTCTAAAAGCAAAATAACTCCTGAGGAAATGTTCAAACTTAAAGACTTTTACGTGATAAATTTGATAAATGCAAATCGTGATTTCAGAAAAAAACTATAAAGGACATTACAGGAACAGTTGCTGACATTTGCATATCGACTATGGGTCAATCCATAGTATTGTATAAATGTTAAACTTTTGATATTGGTAATTGCATTGTGGTTGTGTAAGAACATGTCTTTGTTTTTAGAAAATAAATCCTGAGGAATAAAAGAGTAAAAGGCATCAAGGGTAGCGGCATACATCGCCTCCCTCTCCCCCAAAAGAAATCTCAAATGTGCCACTTTGACACAGGGATTATTTTGAGTTGAAGTCAAACAAGACTCAGCAGACTCAGAAAGAACTCTCACTTCTCCCTTAACTGCCTGAGGATTTAGATGGGGAAACTGTCTAGAAAGAGCTATTACCAGAAATAACATTTTTATCTGAAAGACTTACCTGCATGTCAAGACAAACATTTTCTCTTCTCTTCTTCCTGTAAATTGCTGTTCTCTTCCTTTAAATCCCAGACCTCTATCCTATTCCTTAGTTCAGGATGGTATATAAGCCTCAATTGCCTAACTGCCTTTGGGCTTCACATTTTTATGGAGCTCCTGTATATACAAAATTTGGTTTCTTCTGTTAATCTGTCTTACATCAATTTCATTATTAAGCCAGCTAAAATACCTAAAAGAGAAGAAAAAAAATTTCCACCCTACCAGTGTTAAATTAATTAAATGGGAGGCCATTGGGCTGAAATGATTCTACTGCCTATTAGCCTATAAAAGCAAACCAAATTTAAGCCTGTAAAGGCCTTAAGAAATTAAAACCTAAGGCCAATCAATCACAATCAGCCAACTAGGCTTTTTTAAAATATTTTTTTAAATTTATTTCAGAGAAGGGGAGAGAGATAGAAACATCAATGATGAGAAAGAATCATTGATTGGCTGCCTTATGCATGCCCCCCACTGGAGATCAAGCCTGCAATCAAAGTATATGCCCTGACCAGGAATCGAAATTCAATGTCTTGGTTCATAGGTTTGATGCTTAACTCTTCAGCTATGCCAGCCAGGCTGAACTTTTTTTTTAAATAAAGTAAATGTTTAATCTACAGTTCATCAAATATAATTGACCCTTGAACAACACAAATTTGAACTGCATGGGTCTACTTACATGCAGATTTTTTTCAATAAGTATATTGGAACATTTTTTGGAGACTTCTTAATACCATGAAGCAATCATATCAGTTATTGAAGGCTACCGCAAAGCAATCATATTGTTGTTTCTTCATTATCACTGCATGAATTTGATGAATATCGATTCACTGCCCAATTTGAATTGCTTTTTGTTCAAATAAACTCTTAAAATGCCTCTGTTTATTTTTTATCAAGGGGTTTGGTGTCTGCAACTTATTGTCAAGTGGCTTAGAAAAAAAGAGTGTGGGGAAAATATACTAGTAAGCAATCAATGAATGTGGATAGTGCTATGTGAAGTTCCTTGTACCGAATTTGCAATGTTTTTGTAAGTTTAAAATATTATCCTAATAAAAAGTTAATCTGTCTTACATCAATTTCATAAGTCATATATATATAATATGCAAAGTGTCCCTGCAGGAGTTTGACCTGGAAACCAGGAGTTTGATCGCTCACTATGATGTGCACTGACCACCGGGTGGGGTGTGGAGCAAAGGAAGGCCCCAGCTGGGAGCTAGAAGGCCCTGATTGGCCCTGATGACCAGGTAGGCCTAATAAATTCATGTTTCACCCCTTTTGGCCTCATAGGTTCCTCCTTTAGCGACCCTAACATTACCCTTAAGACAGCATGGATGGACCTAAAGAGTATTATGCTAAGTGAAATAAGCCAGTCATAGAAAGACAAGTATGACATGATCTCACTTATATGTGGTATCTAATGACAAAATAAGCTGATGAACAAAGTAGCTTCAGAGTCATAGAAGCATGGAACAGACTGATGAATCTCGGAGGAAATGGGGAGAAGGGGGAGGAAGAGATTAACCAAAGAATTTATATGCATAGATGCATAACCCATGGACACAGACAATAGTGTAGTGAAGGCCTGTGGGTGGGGGCAGGGTGGAGGAGTTCAATGGGGAAAAGGGGAGGCACCTCTAATACTTTCAACAATAAAGTTACATTTTAAGAAAAAAGAAAACTAGAAGGTAGACCAAGGTGTCTTTCTCAAGAGCCCACATTCTATTCACTAATCAATCTGCTTCTGAGACATTGTAATTCAGGGATCTATAGATACTTTATAGAGTATTTCAATTTCTTTGTCAACACAGCCCTGCAATATTGGTGTTAATATCCTCACTTTTATATACAAAGAAAATGAGATGGAGAACTAATATGATTTGTTCAAATTCACAAAAGCTAGGAGTCATGGAGGCAAAATGTCAACACAGTCTGTCCCTTTTACCCATCAAGACAGCATAAATAGATTATATTTTGAAGAATTTGGTATAAACAACAAAATAATAAACCCCCAAGCTAATATTAAATGATCTCATGAGAACTTTAATAAAATAGTCCTCAAGACAAAAGATGGCTTTTTAATTGTTCTAAACATTGTCCAAAAACTTTTCTCTTTTAATTTTAATTTAAAAATGTATGCACACTCACACACTAGGTCTGTGGCTTTTTCTTACCCCAGTTTATTGTTGGTGTTCTCTCTCTCTCCTCCATCCCTCTCTCTGCCTCTTCTTTCTATGTCCCACCACCACCACCCCCTTTCCCTTTCTTCCTTTCTCTCCTTGTATATAAAGATCACAAAGTTTCCTGCTGCCCCCTAGTGGTTTCATCCTGGAAATGGCAGTCACATTAGGAAACAAAATCTTTATAGACAATAATAAAATGACACTTTAAATTCTTTAGTGTTTCTGAAGGGGTGAGAGGAAAGGGCCCGTTGTCACTGACAAGTTCTTTAATCTCGCAGGGCCTGCACAAATGCACCCATGAAGTGAAAGCTAAAACATTTCCTTTTCACAGTGCCTGTGGGCTGAGATAACACAGTAAACAGTCATGAAGCACAATAAACTCTTAGTAACAGGTAATTATTATTTAGTTTTAACAACTCTATAAAGTTGAGTAAACTGAGGCTCAGCACAGATTACTGATTTTTTTTAACTTAACTCAGCCAGCAAACTATAGAAGTAGGCCCATAATCCAAGTTTTTCTACTCGAATTCTAAATCTTTTCATACCTCAGTATCTCAAAATAACAGTTGATAAGGATAAATGTTAAGAATTTTTAGTCTTAAAGGTATATTTCATACACTCTTGTGTTTTCCATTAAGTCCAAAAAATAGACATTTCATTGGTCAATAATCCATCTCTAGAAAGTGTCTTAAAATTGCAAGAAGCACACAAAGATTTGTGTTCAAAACATGTTTGCAAATCATTACTTACCATAGTACTATGTTGAAATGAACTTTGGTAAATAATAATAATAATAATAATTGTTTGTATTTATTGAGCAGTTGCTGTTTTAAGAGTTATAAATACATCAAAGCATTCAATGAGGTAGGTAGTATTATTATCTCCACTTAACATATGAGGAACCTGAGGAACGGAGAGCTTAAGGGCCTTGCCCACGGTCAAATATTAGGGAGTAGTAGAGCCAGGAATTGAACTGAGATATTTCTCAAGAGTCTGTGTTCTATTCACTAATCAATCTGCTTCTGAAACAGCATCATCCATGGATCCACCCCATATTCTATTGTATGATAGCACTTATGGTGGAATATTGTGCAACCATAAAAATTAGATTTTCAATAAGCATTAAATTATATGACAACATGCTTACATTAAAATATTAAGGGGAAAACAGTATGCAAAATTGCAAACTATATTATATCAGTCATAGAATGTGTGTGTGTGTGTCTGTGCGCGCGTGCACACACACACACACACACACACACACACACACTCATGCATACGCATGCCCAAAACCAAATCTAAATACCTTTCTACAAGTTATGGGTTATGACTAATTCTGTTTTCTAGATAGCCTGAACTTTTGTAATGAAGCAGAACTACTTTGATCATCAAAACATTTAGATTAAAAAATATTTTAGGGTAGCCCTGCCAGGGTAATTCAGTTGGTTAGCATGTCTCAACATGACAAGGTTGCAGGTTTGATCCTGGTCAGGGCATATACAAGAATCAACCCATGAATGCATAAATAAGTGGAACAACAAATTGATGTGTGTGTTTTCTCTCTCTCTCTCTCTCTCTCTCTCTCTCTCTCTCTCTCTCTCTCTCTCTCTCTCTCTCTCCCTCTCTCTTTAAAATCAACCAATAAATTAAAAGTGCTTTACAAAATACCAGAATTTCAAAGAATAGGATTAAGGTTCCCTTTGCAGTAAAATAATGAATCAGGAAGTGTGAATGGAAAAGATTTGCTTGGAAAAACAAAGATTGGGAATAGAGGAAGGATGTTCAGACCAGAAAGGGAAGCATGGGACACCAATGCTGGATTAACATAGCTCTAGAGCCTGCTTTTGATTGGTGTCAGCTCTTCAGAGGCTGTCTTCTGACAATCATTAGGATTCACTACAGATTGAAGTGGTATGGATGGAGAAGCTGATGCCTTCCCTGATAGGAAGACCTATGACCCCAACAGGTATAATTTCTGATTTGGAGAGTTTCAAAGGCGCCGTGGAAAAACAGCAAAGACAGCCCTCTTTGGCACAGTAACCCTAAAAGGCTCGCTGCTTTTTGACAGCCTCCTCTGGGCAGGGCCTATCAGCAGCACCAGATGGGTTGACATAGGCCCATCTTGAGGTGGCATCCTCCCAACCACCTGCAGGAGCCAATCATGTCACTCCCAGTGAAAGCCTGCGGCTCAGGATCATTAACACTTGGCTCCAAACACTGTACGGTGTGTGCCTTCTCATGTCTCCCCGAGCAAGTTGAGGTTGAGCTGCAGAGCCTGACCTTCAACATGCCTTTCGAATTCCTCTGCACACAGATTAGATAAGGGTTGGGTTTTGTGTTGTTGTTATGTGGTTTTTCTCTCCCCCCATTGGAAACTCTGCCAATTACTTTAGAACTCCTTATTTAGTGCGCAAGTGCGCGAGTCAGATTATTTCAGTTTTGCAACGAGAAGTTGGAGTTGATCTCTTCCCTCAGAACAACTGCTAGTTGGTGGTGGTCAACAGAAGTCTTGACATAGACATTAGCAAGGAAGGTTCTTGCTGAGACTCGCATAGAAAAGCTCAAAGGAAAAAAGAAAAGCCCAAAGGAAAAATTGGGAGAACTCATTTCAGCATGAAGCTACAAGATGGAAGAAGTACATTTAACTCAAACAAATTCTGCCCCTTGACCAACAGGTGCAGGAAGATTTTACTCCCAATAACTGCATCTCCTGCGACAGGAATATGGCTCCTCCGAGCACAGCTTCCTCTCCTGCTGCTGTTTGCTGGCCTGCAGAGACCCACGGTGAGTTCCCAGGTGGAGCACAATTGAGGAGGTGGTCTCTGTCTGACAGAGTTCTCCTGGTGACCTTTCAGTGACCTTTAGGCACTGTGGGATCTGATTTCATTCAGACATGGTAAGTTTTCCTGGTGAAGGGTGTGGAAAAAATTATTTGAAATTGTGAAATTCTTTAGTTTATAAACTTGACATGGACGCTATAGGTATGGCATTATTTTCTGGATTCTCCACAAAACTTAAGTAAACCTGCTTTTGTAGGACGAATAATGCAAAATTAACCAAGTCTATGTGCCTTTCAACTGTATCATATGGATCAACTCACAAGAAATATTATAATTTAAAGTTCCACCTAAGGAAAAACAACCTAATATTTAAAAATAACAGACTACAAATTTGACTTCTAGTAATATAATGAAGTTTTAGAGCTTATCAAAAGAAGGATTTGACAAAATGTGATATTATTGATTTGTTGTTGTTGTTTTAGCTTAAATAGATTCTCTAGATTTACTTGTAAAGTTGTTATAAAAAGTTACTGGTTGAAATTATTTAAGCAGTCTAAAAATATTTTTTCTAATTTATAACAACTAGATGGTTTAACATAAATAACAGTAAAAATACCAAATGGTATGTTTTTTTAGTTTAGGCCACAAATCTTTGATATTGACTGGATGGAATTGTATCTCTTAATATATCCCTGAATGAGTACAGTTCATTAGAAAAGCATCACTCCTTCATCAAGCAGGAAAGATCTTGGAATTTAGATCATTGAAATATGGCTTTACATGATGGGCTAATGACATTTAGTGAACTTGTATTCAAACTATAATATTAGTTTAATATGCACTAGGTATCAATAAGTAATATTCAATTGGATCCCCATTAGAAAATGTGTTTTGCCCATTCCTGATTTCCAATAGGAGGGACTTTGCTAGGCACACTCCCGACCACTGTCCACCCTTTACTCATTCCACTACAGGAGGCGAGAAAATGTACTTGATTGGTAACATAAGGAAGGAAAATTGAACATGCTGACTTTGACTCTGCTTTTCTTCCTCCGGGAGCTAGCCTGACAGCAAAGGCCAGGAGTTCTGTGTTTCTCCATGAAAGGAATCACACTTGTGTAGGCTGTAGTTCAGCCCTCCCTACAGCTGTGTGGGCAAGCCTGACTCCTTCTGGGACTTATTTCTAACAAGCCCATTTGCCATCAGATCTAAAGATGTGATCCCTAACATGACATGATTCATAAATGCAAATGATACTTTAGCCTTCATATTTCCTTTTTCTTTTCTTTTCTTTTTTTTCTTTTCTTTTTTTTCAGAGCCTGAATAGGAGAGAGGGCTATAATTTGCTGGAATCCCCTGGAGGACCCAACTTTATTCATCACTTACATCTTTTATTAAATAAACTCCAAAGGCTTAATATAGCTTTGGTATTTATAAAAGAGGTAGTTCTTTAAACACCCATGAGGAAATGTGAAGGAGGTTAGTAGATGAAGTAGAAAGTAAAACTAAACTTTAAGATATTAATTCTCTTCATCATATCCAATGTGCAAAAAATAAAAAATACCATGATTTTGGTTATACAAACAAGATCACTTCCTCCATGGGGAAATGCACATTTTTGAGCTTTCAGTGATATGTATCAATACAAATCCAATCTCTAACACAGGCCACTGATATAGGAAGGATAGGAACAGTGTAATGATTATAAGTGAAACTTACTTTAGCAAATACTGATTTTGAGAAGACAGTCTTATAGAGTACAGAAAATCTGTTATCAGATGCATCATATGATTGGAAAAATTATAATCAAGATTTTTCTTTTCCTATAGGCTGCAATTAAAATCAACTTTGACTTGGCACCAGATTCCTTTGACGATCAATACCAAGGCTGCAGCCAACAGGTCATGGAGGAGCTAGGTCAAGGGGATTATGTCACAGAAGAAATAGAAGCCCAGGGAAATCATTACAAGGCCTGGACTAATGCCCATTTAAACTGGCTAACCCAAGGTAAAGCTCTCCCTACGAACATGACGATCACACATGCTGTGGCCATCTTGGTTTACACACTGAACAACAATGTGCGCTCTGAATTCACTAGAGCCATGGCCAGCGATGCCAGGTCTCCATGGCAATATGAACATTCATTCCATTTCAAATACCTACATTACTACCTGACCTCAGCAATCCAGTTGCTGAGAAAAGGGATTCCCATGACGAATGACTCTCTGTGCTACCAAGTGCATCATGAGGCCGATTTCTACTTGAAAGCCTACATAGGTGCCACTCTTCGATTTGGCCAATTTCTGCCTGCCTCCCTCCTAAGAAAAGAGGCACAGGAGCCTGGGAACCAAACTCTTTTTACCATATTTACCTGCCTGGGTGCACCTGTACGAAACTTCTCTCTCAGGGAGGAGGTTCTGGTCCCTCCCTATGAGTTGTTTGAAGTTGTAAATATGAGCTACCACCCAAGAGGAAATTGGTTGCAGTTGAGGTCAACTGGAAATCTGAGCATATATAACTGTCAGCTGCTAAAAGGTATTATTGATTTAAGTTGAGTTTGCTTTTATCATGATCACAGGCTATTATTCTTTTAAAGGCCAAGAATAGAGAATTGGCCTTCTATAATGATGGAACTGACAGATTGGGGGGGAGGGGAGAGTCTGATTTATTGGTTTCTCCTCTCCTCTTTCTCCTTAACTACCTCTAGGAAAATACATTTCTACAATGACATTAATATAGGGGGCATTCTAGATGAGAGAGTAAACCTCTACTGGAAAAGATAGTCCATAAAATATAGCATCTTTACCCTCTTCTTCAAACTCACGTTTTTGTTATGATCATTTCATAAATAAGGAATTTATTTATGAAAATAAATACAAGTAAAGCAGGAGGCATGACTCATTCATTCACTCTTATCTATTAAGTGTCTTCTATGTTCCAGGAACTGGCCTAGGGAGCCCCCGGCAATATAAAAGGATTACAGCAGAACTACTACACTAGGAAGATTTTAAGTCCAATGAGAAATGGAAATATGAACAAATACCTACACACAAAAGTACAAGTAACACACCCAATGTTTAAGCAGTGGTTATAGCTGCTCATTATAGGAAGCTATTCGTTCTCTCTGGGGAAAGTGGGGCCACGGGGGATGGGAGTTTTCAGTGAGAGAAGAAAGGAAGAGTCATTTCAAGCACAAAACAGTATATTATACTAAATCACAGAGATTTAAAACAGCCTAGTGACTTCAGGGAATCTCCACAGTTTTGGATGGCTGCAATGTAGGATATGCAGGACATAGAAAAGGATTGGGAATAGAAAGAGAATAGGAGAGTGAGTGGATCAGGAGAGTTCTGAGGAGACCAACTATAAAAACTCATGTATTCCATACCCAGGACTTTTGAACTGCATGCTGTATGTAGGTAATGAGAAGACACCAGAAGTTTTTAAGGAATGGAGGGAGCATCATTTTTTTTTTTAATCAATCTTTATTGTTCATATTGTTACAAAGGTTCCTCATTTCTTCCCCCCTCCACCAGGTTCCCACCCCACCCTCTGCCCCCTCCCCATCCCCCATTGTCCTCATTTATAGGTGCAGTTTATGTTCAGTCTCTTCCTCCCTCCCTTTCCCCGATAGTAAATCCCTTTTCAGATAGTAAATCAGTTACTTAGCATTTTCTCATATCAATAATACCACCACATGCCCAATGATACATTTCACACAAAAGACATTTCCAAATAGGTCAACCAGCCTCATCCAGGCCCCATCCAAGGCACTCACAGATCAACACCCCAGCCCTATACTAACTCAACACATCCAGATCTAAGCCTTCATCACTTGATTCAGCAGACCCTCAAGTTCCCACAAAAGTTTCCAGCCATGTCTGAGAGGCAGCCGTGGGCCAGGGGCAGGTGAGAAGCGAGCTGTTCCGGGCCTGGCTGCTTTGGGCCTGGCCTCTGTTGCTCTGGTTCGTTCCACAACCAGCTGCTCCGGGTCTGGTCACCGCCGCTCCCAACCTAGTTGCTCTGGACCTGGCTGCTGCTGCTCCGGGCCTGGCTGCACCTGACCCGGCTGCTCTGGGCCCGGCTGCTCCGGGCCTGGCCACTCCCAGCCTGGCAGCTGCTGCTCCAGGCCTGGCTGCTCCCAGCCTGGCAGCCGCTGCTCCGGGCCTGGCCACTCCCAGCCTGGCAGCCGCTGCTCCGGGCCTGGCTACTCCCAGCCTGGCAACTGCTGCTTTGGGCCTGGCCGCACCAGACCCGGCTGCTCCGGGCCTGGCCGCTCCCAGCCTGGCAGCCACTGCTCCGGGCCTGGCCGCTCCCAGTCTGGCAGCCGCTGCTCCGGGCCTGGCCGCACCAGACCCGGCTGCTGAGGGAGCATCATTTAGATCAGTGATAGGCAAACCATGGCTCTTTGGCCCCTTGAGTGTGGCTCTTCCACAAAATACTACACGCAGGTGCACACATACAGTGTAATTGAAACTTTGTGGCCCATGCACAGAAGTCGGTTTTCAGCTCTCAAAAGAAATTTCAATCATTGTACTGTTGATATTTGCTCTGTTGACTAATGAGTTTGTGGACCACTGATTTAAATCAATACTTTAGCAAGAGCTCTGATGATACTGGGGGAAATTGAAGCAGGAAAAATTAGAGATATCACAATACTATATATATATTGTTAAGCTCATTTTTTTAGAAAAACTCATGGCTGATTCCATTTTATCTTTGTATGTTACCAGCCATAATCAATTCACAGACTAATAGTTCTATAGCAAACGCTGTGCCCTATTTGATTTAGAGGGAAGGGGAATGTTCTTATCCATATGTGCAGTTGTTTACTCTTTTTAAAAAAATATATCTTTATTGTTGAAAGTATTACAAATGTCCCCCTTTTCCCCCATGAACCCACCTTCAGCCTACCCCCACCCCATCCCCAGACCTTCACCACACTATTGTCTGTGTCAATGGGTTATGCATATATGCATCTAAGTTCTTTGGTGAAACTCTCCCCACCCCCCACCCACCCACCCCTGCCTTCCCTCAGAGATTTGTCAGTCTGTTCCATGCTTCCATGCCTCTGGATCTATTTCATTCATCAGTTTACTTTATTGATAATATTCTACATATGAATGACATCCTGTGAGACTTGTCTTTCTTTGGCTAGCTTATTTCACTTAGCATAATATTCTCCAGGTCCCTCCATGCTGCCTCAAAGGGTAAGAGTTTCTTCTTTTTTTACAGCTGCCTAGTACTCCATAGCGTAAACGTACCACAGCTGTTTTATCCATTCATTACTGATGAGTACTTAGAGACTATTACCAGATTTTAGCTATTGTAAATTGTGCTGCTATGAACATAGGGTGCATATATTCTTTCTGGTGGGTGTTCCTGGATTCTTAGGATATATTTCCAGAAGTAGGCTTGCTGGGTCAAAAGGAAGTTCCATTTTTAATTTTTGGAGGAACCTCAATACTGTTTTCCACAGTGGCTGCACCAGTCTGCATTCCCACCAACAGTGTACTCCATATCTTTGGAGTAAAGTTCCCTTTACTCCATATCTTTGCCAGCACTTGTCATTTGTTGATTTGTTGATAGTAGCCATTCTGGAAGGTGCAAGGTGATACCTCATTGTCGTTTTAATTTGCATCTCTCTGATGATTAATGATGTTGAGCATTTTTTCATATGTCTTTGTGGCCATCTGTATGTCCACTTTGGAGAATTGTCTGTCTAGATCTTTTACTCATTTTTTCACTGAATTTTTTTCTTCCTTTTGTTAAGTTTCATGAATTCTTTATATATTTTGGAAATTAAACCCTTATCAGATGTATCATTGGCAAATATGTTCTCCCCTACAGTGAGCTCCCTTTGCATTTTGTTGGGGGGGTTTTTTGCATGTACACATCCAGTTATACCAACACCATTTATTGAAGAGGCTGTCTTGATTCCATTTTATGTTCTTGCCTCCTTTGTCAAATGTTAATTGAGCATAATGGCCTGGGTCAGTTTCTTGGGTCTCTGTTCTGTTCCATTGATCTCTATGTCTGTTCTTGTGCCAGTATAGTATAATTTGATATCTGGTATTGTGATTTCTTTAACTTTGTACTTCTCAAGATTGTCATATATATCCAGGGCCTTTTTTGGTTCCATATAAATTTTTGGAGTATTTGTTCTAGATCTGTGAAATATGCTGTTTGTATTTAAATAGGGATTGCATTGAATCTATAGATTACCTTGGGTAGTGTGGAGATATTAATGATGTTAATTCTACCAATCCATGGACATGGTATATTCTTCCACTTGTTTGTATCTCTCACTGAAAACCCTCATTCCTAAATCAAGTTCCCTATAGTCCTCTACTAGGAAGTCTTCCTTGCTTTTCCCAGAGTGAATGAGTAACTTTCTGCAGTGAGCAACTACAACCATTATTTAAACATCAGGTATGTTAATTTGTACTTTTGTGGGCAGAGAAGGCAGCTCCATCCTCTGTTCCACCTTATCTAAGCCTCATCTTCCAATCACTTTAGTTGAAGACAAAACAAAACACAAACAAAAAAAAAAAAAAAAAAAAAAAAACTTGTATACACTTGGAATGGACATATGTGCATTTAGCTCTACTAAAAAAGGGGGTGGGGTGGGGTTTAATACTTTAGTTACCCCACATCCTGGAGCAGTATTGGGTTGGTCCATACATGAGCAATGGGAAGAGAGAAGTGATTTATTTTCTAGTCTGGGAGTCTTTTGCTGAGATGAGACCAATGTGCTGTGGGAGAAGAAAAATAATTTTCCCTCTACTCTTCTAGGTTCTTGGCTGAATCCCACCCCCTCCCACCATAATGAAAAGACAGATTAACAAGAATAATAATTTTATACATATAGGAGTTCCATAAAAATATAAGACTCCAAGGCAGCTAGGCAATTGAAGTTTATAATGTTCCTGAGCTAAGGAAAGGAATTGGGGAGAGAGGGGTGTCTGAGCTTCAAAAGGGAGGAAGACAATTCATAGGAAGATGAGAAGAATAAATATTTGGTAAGCCAATGTTTACCCTGCCATTCAGATAAATCTCTCTAATATAAAAGGTTATCTCTGGCCAAAACCAGTTTGGCTCAGTGGGTAAAGCAAAAGCCTACAGACTGAAAGGTCCCAGGTTCGATTCCGGTCAATGGCATGTACCTTGTTTGTGGGCACATCCCCATTAGGAGGTGTGTAAGAGGCAGCTGATCGATGTTTCTCTCTCATTGATGTTTCTAACTCTATATCCCTCTGTTCCTCTCTGTAAAAAAAATATCAATAAAATATATTTAAAAATAATAATAATAATAAAGATTATCTCTGGTAGTAGCTCTCCTCCTTTACAGGAAGCTATAAATTCTTTTAGGCAGTTAAGGGGAAGGTAAAAAGTTTTTCCTGAATCTGCTGGCCTTGATTTCCTTCAGCTCAAAATAATCATTATGCCAAAGAGGCATATTTTGGGGTGACATGTTCTGCTTTCTAATTTCCTAGGTAACTGCTTTCTCCCAGTCACCTGGACTGTGTGATTCACCTCAGCCTAGAGAACTTAAGGTGGTGTTCTGGAGTACGGTACTTATATCCAATTACTCATGAAACTGGAATCATCTCAGGAGACTTTTTCTTTTCCTTTTCATTTTTTTTACTAGCAGAAGCCATAAACTATTCTATGTCCCCAGTAAGTCCCTATGAGTCAGTAACTTATGCTTCCTATCTTGTTCCCTCTTAACTTGGAAGACATGATATTTGAAAGCCAACATGAACACATTTAAAACTAGCCATCCAGGACACTGTAATTCTCCCAATGAAGAGACAATAGGTTAAGGAATATTCCAGCCCTTCAGTGTATTTCAAAATTGGTTCTGTTAACTTGCAACTGCAGTTCTCAAGTTCAAACAGTTCCCATGAATCTGTTGCCTTCAGAGAGTTGAAGGGTCAAATTAGTCTCATAATATATTTAGGGAGTGAATTTGCAGAAGAAAAATTGTTTAAGGTATTCTAAACTAATAGCTTTCCCTTCTAATTCTTCTCTCCTCACATGGCCTATACTGGTTACTATAGAAACAGATGTTTTCAGGCCCATGGAAAGACTATTTGGCAGGCTAGTGTATGTTAGTTATTTGCCCTTAAATGTTGCTTCTTCAGCAAAATAATCTGTGCCAAAAATCTGTAGTCACACAAATACATGCTCTGTTCCGTATCACTGAATTCACAAAGGATAGGGATTTATTTGTTAAAATGTTTAACATAGTCAAAATTCTTAAGCATGTTTATTGAAGAAAATATAGTCAATTGTAGTTGCTAGTAGTAAAAACATGGGCAAATGGCTTATTCTGTGCCTGTTTCTTTACAGTAAAATAATTTTTTAAATAAAGTCTACCTTATTTGATTCTGAGGAGTAAACATACTTAGAATAGTATCTGACACATATAAGTACTAAAATGTTTTCACTACTACTACCATTATTATTATTATTACTTATTTTATTTACTTCCTGTTTTTTGCTTTCTTTTACTCTGGGCTTTAATTTTCTCAAATTAGTTTTATCTATTTTGGCATCACATTCACCTTGAAGTAGAATGTCTGAATCAGACAATTGGATGAGAGAATGAATATGTGATTGAATGAATCTAGGAGAGCACATGGCAGTGGAAAGAAAATAAACTTCTGGCCTTAGCTGGTTTGGCTCAGTGGATAGAGCATCAGGCTATGGACTGAAGGGTCTCAACTTCAATTCCGGCCAGGGCACATGCCCGGGTTGTGGGCTCAGTCCCCAGTAGGGGCACACAGGAGGCAGCCAATCAATGATTCTCTTTTATCATTGATGTTTCTATCTCTTTCTCTCCCTTTTCTTCCTTTCTGAAATCAATAAAAATATTTTTTAAAAGAAGAAGAAGAAGAAAATAGACTTCTGAGCCAGTAAGAACTGGGCATATGTTAGTAGATATGTAAATGATGAAGTCTGAGCCTATTCCTTCATTTATAAAATAGAGGCATTGCTTGCCTAGAGGAAATGTTAATAACAACAAACATAACTGGAAAACTCCAGGAAAGTATTGTGGATGTGGAAGTCGGATAATTGTTCAATGGAGCAAATGTGTACTTCAGTAATATTTACAGTAAGAATAGAAACGAAGTGTTATTGGTGGAGTTCTCGCTTTGTCCCCATCTGTTATCAGTGGAAGTAGAGTTCTTGCGATGTCACAAGGAAAGGAATTTCCTGAAACTGGCATGGGAGGATGAATGATCTTTATTTCCATGAAATTAAAGCCCTGGGTTTCCAATATCCCTCCATCCCACCACAGAAAAAGTTCAGTCTTGTCTTCAGCAGGGCAAGAATTAAGGGCCCTGCCCAGAGTCTCCTCTCCACATTAAAACACAGCAACTGCCTAGCTTAGCTTGTGTTCCCAGCTGCAGTCCACCACATTTGGGTTCTTCACATTTCTGTGTCACAGTTTTACTCACCAAAAAATAAGGAAAACACAAATAAAGGATTGTTATGAGGATTAAATGAGTTAATTTACAGCAAGTGCTTAACACAGATTCTAACACAGAATAAATTACTTAATATTAGCTCTCATAATGGTGATGAAGATGATAAGATGGGGATGGTGGGGATGCTGATAACAATAAAGATGGAAAATCAGGAGATCTCTACCACCAACCAGATTGGTAACTTGAAATAAATCTTTTCACCTCTTGGTGCCTCTTTCATCATCTATAAAATATGTAAGCTAAGTTATGTTAATTATAAATATCTGAGAATACTTTTTTCAAAGTAGCTAACTTTAAATACTTTTATTATAAATTATCTAAGTTAAAAAAAATGAATCAAAGAAGAAATTAGGTAGCTTGTTTTTTTTCAATCTCTGCTACCTAAAATATATCTAACTCTTTTGTTTGTTTTTACAGCTTCCAGCATAAAGTGCATCCCTGTTCCTGTAGTTATTGCTGCCCTCTCCTTTTTGATCATTGTCACCATCTCTTTAAAAAGTGGAGTATAAAAAAACTTTGCCATTTTACTTTTCCTGAACCATTTGGCTTTATTCCAGTCAGTGCACCCTGTATATCCTTGCAGAATAACTCTGTGTCCTCCACCCCCATCAGCTAATGCAGAGCTGACTCAGCCTACTGCCTATGAGTAAGCCTGTAACTCAGTATGTTTCTTCTCCGTGTTCACAGAGATCATGCTGGAGTAGAAAATGGCACAATCAAGAGTTGATGGGATAAATTCAGGACACTTCTTTGCTTTGGGGAATTGGATAGGGCCTTTTTTTTTTTTTGTGGAGATTAATACCTTCCTGAGAATGGAGCTAACACAGTAAAGGAAGAGCTAAGAAATGGGGGGGGGGGGGGGGGGGGGGAATAAATAAAAAGAAAAAAAAAAAAAAAAAAAAAAACTGCGTCCAGATGAGAGTGAACAAGGCCCTAGATCCAACTGTTCCTGAAATTGTATACTGTAGGCTTTTCATTATATAAACCAATAAATTATATTCTGCTTAAATAATTTGAATTACACTTTTTATTTCATGCAATTGGAGGTGTTATGATGAATATAAGGATACTCCCTTGTTTTTTTTTATTCAGTAGTCCTAAATAAGAACAAATCAGGGAAGCTTGAATCAGAAAGCAAAGAACAAATTCTTCATCAAATAGAAAAGCTTTGAGCCCCAGAGACATCATTAAGGATTGAATTTTCTTCAGAGATTTTTATTAGTTTTCAAGACCAAATTAGTATAGTCTGAGATGGGAAGAAACATGGAAATTTGAGAAATACTAAGGACAGATGGTAATAAAATCCCATTCATTACCAATAGTGGGGTGCTATATACCTGTTTCTAAACTATTTTTATAAGAGTTAAATTTAAAGGCATATGGTCATTTACAGCCAACTTATAGAAAACTGGATCTTAAGTATTCATCGCAAATTTAAATATTTTAGGAAATCATGTGGATGAGTGTGAAGATAAAGATTTGGCGGGGAAAAGGTATCTAATTACCAAGCAAATATCAATGACGTATTGAGTCTCTATTATGTGTATACAATTAGGTGAAAAGGGATATAATTCAATGAATTTCACAGCTGGGAATGTTCTCCGTCTCTTCTCTCCAATAGTATACAAATGTGAGGTGATGGGGGGAGGGGGTATTACTTTACCTCTTCTCCAAAGATCTTTATATTTGGCTAAATGGAGTGGAAGTGAAAACCAGCTTCATACCTTGGAATTCTGAAAGTCTGTGCTACTTAGAAGTTTGGATAAGAAACAACAAAAGTGAAAATCAACTCATCTAGCCCCAGTAGGACTTCCAGAAGGGTCTCTGTTATGATAGAAGAGACTCAATGGAAAATTAGAGGCATAAAATCACCTGGAGGAGAACTCAGCCGTCTATCATTATTTACATTGGGATTTTTGAGAATATCAGGAACAAGGGCACCTCTGTCACCTAGTTTGCATTGGCCTCTACACCCAATAAGGCAAGCATAGAATTTCTATAAAAATAATTTCTGTGATTCATTGTACAGAGACTTTGACAGGTTTGTGGCTACCTAGTAAAGATTCATTCTGGGGCATGGATCCAGCAAAACTTTGCAGTGAGCTTTTGTTGGTAAGGCAGAGATGAAATGTGTAAGGAATAGCCTCCCACATAGGAAATACCAAAAGAAAGGGTAAAATCAAGTCTTTCATTCATGAAAATTCAAAAGAGATATTCCTTCTAGCTGAGGCAAGAGGAGAAGCTTCAAGTAAAGGGCAGCATTTGAGTGAGGTCTTGAGACATTGGTGTGGGAGCAAGGGGTAAGAGAAAGGAGAAAAAAATAGGTAGGGACAGGCATGTAGCAAGTGCGTGGTGCCAAAAATAAGTACAAATAATAAGCACTTGGAGTTTAGAGAAAAATTAGATTCCTCTGGCCTAGGGTGGTATATAGCCTTCTATCAGAGGAGAGGCTTAGGGGAAAGGCTTCAGGTTGGTGGGGGAAAAAAACTGAGTAGAAAAAAAGAAATAAGATATAGGAATGATCAATGTATATAAAGGTCAGAAAATAGGTCTGCAAGAGTGAAGCAGTAATGTAGACTGGAAAGTTGAAGCCACCCAGTGATGCTCAAAAGCCAGCCTAAAGCATTTGATCTCCATGAGAAATCAATTTCCTGGATAAGACAACTTACATGATTATAATTCTTAAGGGAATAACCACAATTTTTAAAAGATAACTTAAGTCTTCCTCCTCCTGATGCTGCTGCTTTACTGAATAAAGTCTCTGGAAATAGAAATGATTCTCTTGAAGCAAGTAGATGTGTGGGTTTACTTAAGGAGGAATGCATATCGTTTGCATTCCCTCAATTTCTGCCTAAATCCCAATTTCTTGAGCAAGAAGTCTATAAAGGGAACCATTGATTTAAATTAATTCAAAGTCTGAGTTCATGAAACTTTAGACGACCAGTTTCAAAAACTTTATAATTTCTGCTCTTTTGTTATCTGGGATATCTTCTGAAGATAAATGGACCTTCCAATGTGCATAAATTCATATGGATTGTTGAAAGAGACTACATATAAGGTTGCTTAGTATTTATCACCTATAGTAATTTTATTAAAGTAGCACATGCACTTCTCTTTTTGTAAATACAAAAATACTCCAGCCCCATTTATTATTTTTATCTTTATAAAAATATATTTATAACTAGAGGCCCATGCACTAAATTCATGCGTGGGGAGGGGGGGTGACCCTCAGTCAACCCTGCACCCTTTCCAATCTGGGACCCCTCAGGGGATGTCCGACTCCCAGCTTAGGTCTGATCCTGCAGATCATAAACTGGCATTTGGACATCCCTCTCGCAATCCAGAATCACTGGCTTCTAACCACTCACTTACCTGCCTGCCTAATGCCCCCAACTGCTCTCCCATGCCACCATTGGCTCCTATGTAGCCATTGGCTCTTCTGAGAAATCCACACGGCCCTGCTGACAGCTGTCTCTCTCTCTCCAAGCCTATCTCTGGGCCTGATCTGCAGTTTATGTGGCAGCTGCTGATAAGGCCCTGCCTCTCTCCCAATGCCAGCCTCACCCCATCCACCCGCCTGCCACCAGCTGTGATAGGAGCCTGTGGGCCACAGATGAGGGACTGAGAGGTGCTCCATGCACTTCCTGGTGACTGTTCATTTGGTCGTTTTGGTCATTATGAACAATGGCTTTTATATATTAGATATACACTGAGTGGCCAGATTATTATGATCTTTGAACACATGATAATCTGGCCACTCAGTGTGTGTGTGTGTGTATACACACACACACACACACACACACACACACACACACACATGAATATATATATGAGGCCAATGCATGAATTCATGCATGGGTGGGGTCCGGCCAGCCTGGCCAGGGAGAGGGGACATGGGAGGTTGGCCGGCCTGCCTGCTGGTTGAATTCCTGGTCAAGGGGACAATTTGCATATTAGCCTTTTATTATATAGGATATACACTGAGTGGCCAGATTATTATGTGTTCAGAGATCATAATAATCTGGCCACTCAGTGTAGTGTTCTAATATGTCTATCTGCATGTCCTGAAGTTCTCTATTTACTCTTACTTTTTAAAAAAATTTAATTCAGTGAAAGAAAATTTCAGTAGAGTTTGGTTTGATTGAGAAATCAGGATTCCTGGCCTGAGTTGTCTAACGATCTAAATCAAATTAATTTATACTGAATGGACCAGTTCTTAATTTGCTAAAATTCAAAAGAGACTTATTTAGCTTGATGCTTTCAGAGATACCAAGATCTGCTAAAAATTGTCTACTGATAAAAAGGGAAGCTATTTTAAGTATTAGAGGACTTTTCTGTCTTTCTTCCTTTTATTATTTTTTTAGTAATCATGAATTTTGTTTTGCTTTTGCTTTATGGCAATTCATTTTCTCCCCCTACTTATGTTTCATTCAAAGAGGTCATACTGTGTCCAAGGTCTCAGAGAAGGAATGAGATGAGGCATAAGATAGAACCAAGTGTGTCTTCCCCATTTTGTTCTTGTCTACCTGGAAAAAAAAAAATGAGTGTAAATGAGAGTTACCCCAAATCAAAGTCTTTCAGGGAAACATTAAATAAGAGTGATAGGATTGAGAGCACTGCGGCTTTTCCTTAATGTTTCCTTCCATAAGCTGAGAAGCAGCAGCAGACAAGTAGTCACTAGAGTGGTGCCCAGTGGTGAGAAAATGGCTGTGAGAGGTGCTGTGAGTGAGGCCAGCATCATTATTGAAATAGGCACCACTTATCTCTAATATTAAGGGGCCACACTAGCCACCATTTTCACTGGCATCTCCGGAGGACTTCCCTTGAACTACCATTCTATCACAGACTCTTCATGGTTCTTGTCCCGTTCATTTCCACATGGATCCCCCCAGTTGTTGAAACATCCTGAGATACAAACTACAACCAAGAGGAGGAAGTTGGAGCTGAGACAAAATGGAGAATGAATTAATGTATTAAAAGGCATGCTTTTTCCAAGCCCTTTAAACCCTGGAAATAGTCAAAATCCCCTTAATCCTCACCACTGGATATTGTGATGGTCTTATTGTTATGGAGCAAGGAAAGAATGTTTTAGTTAAGATTACAGTGGTAATTACAATGACAGCCTTGGCTTTGGAGCTGAGCTCTTGGCTGGGCTAACAAAAGTGCAACTTTCAAGTAGCCATAAGTAAGGAGGTTATCTTGGTGGAAGTGACTGCATAGAAAGCTAAAAAGTACATAGAATACCTTCTTCTTCCCTCTTCATCAAAAGCTCACAAGTAATTTCTTTCCCTTTCAGTTTCTCATGTTTCTGCCTTTTTAAAAAAAAATGTTTTATTGATTTCAGAGAGGAAAGGAGAGAGAGAGAGAGATAGAAACATCAATGATGAGGGAGAATCACTGATTGGCTGCCTCCTGGACACCGCACACTGGGGATCAAGCTCAGAACCTGGGCATGTGCCCTGACCAGGAATTCAACCTTGACCTCCTGGATCATGGGTTGATACTCAACTACTGAGCCACACCAGCCAGCGTGTTGTTTTTTTAACAGAGTACAGAGACATTTTCTTTTTAAAGGAGAAAATAAGGTTTAGACTTTAAATGAGGAAATGTTTAAGTAAGGAAAATAACTCAAGCATTTTCCCTCAAAAAGAAAATTCAACAAATAACTAGAATTATTAATTGCTTTTCTTATTCTCAACAAAGTTCCTAATAGTTGTCAAGTGAAATAGGGCAATCTTGAGAGCACACACTCATTTACAATGCATGAGAACTAAAGACTTTATGGTAGATAAATGGACTTATCTAACTTTTCTTCCCCGCTACAAGCACATCTCAGACAAGTGTCATGGCAATTTCATTGTGAAAGATTAGATCACCTCCAATTTTCAGCCTCTAATATGGGCTAATCATAAGATCTTAGTAGGAGACCAATGAAAACAAATCATATACTCTAATTGTATTCATGTAATAAAATTATATTACTTCTCATTCATTTTTCTTATTTCCTTCTGGATAAATCTAATAAAAATATTGATTAGATTGTTTATGATAGCCAAGGCCCTGAGGTATATAGAAATTGGTATAGGAGTGACAAAAATGCAGAGGATTACTTTATATGCTTCCTAATTCTGAACATCATTTCTGCCAGATTATCTCTTAATAACATTTATAATTACCTGGACTTTGCACTATAGTAACTAGAAATAGAATTACTAAGAGTGAAAATTAGTTTAAATTATTCTTTAAGATTATATATAATGTTTAGAAACATCCTCAAATCAAATATAATATCACCTTGATTTTTTGACAATATATTCTTTTTAGGAATAACATTTCAAATGGGCTTTTTTATTCTTTTTATTTGACTAAAGCAAACTTGAAGTAAATTGTTGGCCAAGTGACTACTCTTTGCACCAATGTTCAAATAGACCACATTCCTAGCATCAAAGACCTTAAAATGTGCTATGAAAACTCCCAGGATTTGAACTCATTTTCTGCCAAAAATGAGCACTTCTGATGCACTTCTATTAGTCATTGACTTTCTTAATCCCATATGTACTAATTTCCAGAGTCTGTATGGCCTTTTGGAGGATCTCTAAGGTTGGTCTCATATTTTTAACAATTTGCTCCAATTGTTCTGCGGCTGACGCAATGGTATTCTTAGCATTCTCAATTTTTAGTGCATTTTGCAACTTTTTCACATTGTCTACTGTAGTGACTTTGGATGGACCTGCACTTGAGCTTTCCATAGATGTGGTAGCACCTGATTGCTCGTTGGTGTCTTTTCTATGGAAGTCACGTATTTGAAGACTCATGATGGGATGCATCGTCAAGAGTTGAAGAGCAGATTCCAAACTCGAAATGATGTTACCACTGCTCATCAGAGAGACAATGAATGGCGTATTGATTTGTGCTAACCTTTCTCTAGTTGCTGGCTGCAACTCTTTTACTTTGGTATTCTTATCAACCACTGTGCACATCGCTGTTGCAATCTTGGAAAATATAGGTGTCTTTTGCACGCTGTTATCCTTGGCCGCCACTACAGATTGCATCTCCTTAAAAATTCTGACCATTTGTTCAAAGACTTCCTTAACATAACTATCTTCTTTCACAACCATTGTGATGATCTGAGAATTCATACAGCTATTAAACAATTCGGTGAGTGTGTTTGTGACGGTAGCAAAATCTTGAATGTGAAGAAAGAATGTTTGGGCAGCTTGAACCAGCCTCTCTTTATCCTTATCTGACTTTGAAGCCATTTCTCCAACAAAATGTTTCAGCCCTGCAAAACAAAGCAGGAATCCAAATGAAAATTAAAAGAATATTTGTTAGCCTCAAAAAAAAGACACAAAGTATTATCTAAATATGAAGAAGACTCTTATTAAGAGTTGGAAAGCTACACAAGCTTTAAAGCAGAAATGGTCCTCTGCTTTAATAAAAATGATACCAAAACTATTAAACCCAAGTAAGAGTATTTGATTGGATTTAAAACACATATCAAATATTATGTGCTGGATCCTGAACTGGATATGTTGTTATATATAGTGACACTATTCTCAAGTATTACCCTCAATAAGCATTCAATCTAGTGGAAAAGATTGAAAAAAGTATTACAAATTATACAGAGATGCTGTGGTTCTAGTTAAGATAGAGCAAGTACCTTCCATACAATCTTTCCTACTGATTACAATTAAAAATCTCAGACAAACTATACAAAGTAACAATTAGATAACTCTGAAAGATAGAAAACAGCAGACCAAAGAGGTAGAGAATGCATCATTTCAAAGAAGATAAAGGTCATTTGATGCAAAATCTCAAAATGTCTGTCCTGTCTAAAAGTGTTTCAATACTTTAATTACAAACTTCATATTTTACTATACAGAGAAGTGTTAATGTCACTAACCATTGTTCAACATCCTATTTTTATTTTGTGTGTGTGTATAAGTATGTGTGTATCTCCTCTAAAATTTTGTTATATCAATCATCTTTTCTTTCTTTTATGCTGTGGACTAAATAGTACCCAAAAAATTCATATGCTGAAGCTTTAAACTGCAATAAGACTATATTTGGAGATAGGGCATATATAGTAGTAAGATTAAATGAGGTTATAGCCCTAACCGGTTTGGCTCAGTGGATAGAATGTCAGCCTACATACTCAAGGGTCCCAGATTTGATTCCAGTCAAAGGCATGTACCTTGGTTGTGGGCACATCCCCAGTAGGGGGCGTGCAGGAGGCAGCTGATTGATATTTTTCTCTCTCCCTCTCCCTTCCTCTCTGTAAAAAATCAATAAAATATACTTTTTTAAATGAGGTCAAAAGGGAACAGTTCTGATATGATAGGATTAGTATTCTTGTAAAAGGAAATACCAAAGATCTTACTCTCTCAGTCATGTGAGAATACAATGAGGTGACTACCTGCAAATTAGGAAGAGAGCCTTCACCAAAAACTGACTGGACTGACACTTAATGTTAGATTTCCCAGCCTTCAGAACTGTGAGAAAATAATTTTTTGTTTTTTAAGCCATCCAAACAATGGTGTTTTGTTATGGCTGCCAAATGGCATCTTCCACCTTCTCACTCTTCATTTTTCCTTCTCCTTTATGTACATATTCAGTTTCCTCCTCAATTAAAAAAAATTGACCCTGACTTCAAATAATGACACCATCTCACTCCTTCCTTTCTCAAATTTCTCACAAGAGAAATTATAATTTATTCTGTCCCCCACTGTTTTCCTATAAGGCACCAATTACTTCTAATGATCACATCTGTTAGCCTATTTCCAAACCTTGCCATTTTGAGTTCTTAATAATTAGCAATTATTTAAAATTGCTAATTATCTCTTTCTACTTCAAAATTTTCTTTGTGAAGCCTCCATGACGTATAATTCTGGTCATTGTATGTCCTAAGCCTTTTTTTTTTCCCCCTCACAGGTTTGTCTTCCTCCTTACCACCACCAGCTCTCCAGTCCCCTAAGCTCAGCAAGGCTGTGTCTTTGACCCTCATAATATTCTACACTTTCTCTCTTGGAGATCTCAACTGTTCCCATAAATTACAAATGCCATCTATATATAGATGACTCCTAAAGCTCCTAGTATAGCCTCAGCAGTTCTCCTGATCTCCAGTTCTTCATTTGCAACTACCTAGTGGTCATCTCTATAGGTGACTATGCCAGTATGCTCCTCACCATGTATCCGAAAACTGCACTTGTCTCCTCAAAAAAACACATTTTCCCCTTAATCTTTGCTTTATTTTCACTTTATTTTTCACAGCAAATCTGTCCCTAAGATTTGTTAATTCTCGCTAAACTTATTCTACCTATCCCTTCCCTGACAGTCCCATAACTACTATTCCAGTTACCTCTCATCTCAGGAGATAACTTTAATAGTGTCATATTTTGTCTCAATACTTTTAGTCCAAAGGCTACAAATGCAGTTCACCGGCAAAATCCAACCAGCAGATGTGTTTTATTATACCACTGCAATGTATGTTCAAAATTAATATCAGTTGCCAAATTTAAAAACTGAAAGACAGAAATTTTGATTTCTAGTGATTATTTTTTAAATGAGATGAATTGACAGCATTAAGCCCAGGATCTGGGTTGGAAATATTACCCAGAGTGGTAGTTGTCCTCTTTAGACTAGACATTCACCCTCTACACCCTTTTGCATTACACTAAGTGTTTCAAATACTTATATATCTTGTCCAGCCATTGTATGCATTAGAGTTGCTAACCAATGTTTACTCCACATACCAACTAATTCAGTTTATATAAAGTGACTTTTCTTAAATCTAAACCTCCTAATATTATCTCACAATTAAAAAGCTTTAATGGTTCAATATTGCCTAAAGAATAAAATAAAGGAGAAACCAAGATGGCAGCATAGGTAAACACCTGAACATGCTGCCTCACACAACCATTTCAAAACTACAACTAAAAGACAAAATGGACATCATCCAGAACCACAGGAAGGCTGGCTGAGTGGAAATTCTACAACTAGAAGGAAAGGGAAAAGTACACTGAGACTCAGAGGAGCTGCAGAAGTAAAGAGGTTCCACACATAGAGACGTGTGTGGAAAGGGCTGGCAACTGAGTATATGGCTGGCTTTTTCAATCCGCAGGGAGACACAAGTTCCCAACTGCTCTGAACTCCAGTTCCGGGCAAGACTCCAGACTCATACAGAGAGAAACTGGACTGTCTGGCAGTGGATGGAACTCGAGGGCAGCTTTCTCTCTGAGGTGCTTGCAGCAATTACCAAGAGACACTGAGACCCAGGGGCCTCTTGGGGAAGGGCTGACAGAAAGTCATTGCTATTTGCTCCACCCTGAGACTCTGCCCCATCCAAGCTGTGTGCAGAAGTTTTTGAATATGAATGGCCTGATCCTTTGAAACCTAAACTTACCTAACAAACTGCAGCTAAGTCAGAGAGACCCAGAACATCCAAAAGATGGCCCAAGGCTCCACAGCAGCTTCCATTGCTTCACAGATGGGCCTCATCTGGGCACCTCCAAAACCCAAACAAAGATGAGGAATCTGAAAATCTCTCCATAGCTCCTGCGGGGTGGCCTCAGGCAGAGGCTAAATTAGCACCTCCTTGGAGATCCAAGAGTCAGTGTACCAGGGGTCAGAGGAGGGCCATCCAGGTTATAACTCCTCAAATCCATAAGGGACACACTCAGGGGGCAGACTCAGTGAGCATTAAAGCCCCACTGAAGCAAGTCTTGCCTCATAAGGGTATCTCCAGCACAGAAGTTCTCCCATCGTAGACATAGCTGATCCTCACAGCCAATTGGCCTGGAAGTCAATTCCTCCCAGTGATACCAACAACAATCAAGGCTTAACTACAACAAGACTGTGCACACAGACCACAAAGGGGTGCACCAAGAATGTCCATCTCAGGTAACTGGGGAGGCTGAGCCACTGGGCCCTATAGGACACCTAGCACAAAAAGCCACTCTATCAATTCAGGGAAGCAGCCAAAATGCGAAGACAAAGAAACAGATCACAAACAAAAGAAATGGAGGAAAACAAACTACTGAATATAGAGTTCAAAACCACAGTTATAAGGTTTTTCAATAATTATCTAGAAAAGGCCAATATATTTAGTGAGACCCTTGAGCATATGAAAAAAAAGACCAACTAGAAATTAAGCATACACTGACTGAAATAAAAAATAATATACAGAGATCCAACAGCAGACTAGAGGATAGAATCAAGTCAAAGATTTAAAATATAAAGAAGCAAAAACACCCAACCAGAAAAGCAAAATGAAAAAAGAATCCAAAAATATGAAGATAGTGTAAGAAGCCTCTGGGACAACCTCAAGAATATCAACATCCAAATTATAAGGGTGCCAGAAGAAGACAGAGAGAGCAAGGTACTGAAAACCTATTTGGAGAAATAATGACAGAAAACTTCCCCCCCACCTGGTAAAAGAAATAGACTTACAAGTCCAGGAAGCACATAGAACCCCAAACAAAAGAAATCCAAAGAGGACCACACCAAGACACATCATAATTAAAATGCCAAGAGCAAAAGACAAAGAATATTAAAAGTAGCAAGAAAAAAAATAATTAGTTACCTACAAGGAAGTACCCATATCACTGTCAGCTGACTTCTCAACAGAAACTATGCAGGTCAGCCAAAACCGGTTTGGCTCAGTGGTAGAGTGTCGGTCTGCAGAATGAAAGGTCCCAGGTTCGATTCCGGTCAGGGGCATGTACGTTGGTTGTGGGCACATCCCCGGTAGGGGGTGTGCTAGAGGCAGCTGGTCGGTGTTTCTCTCTCATTGACATTTCTAGCTCTCTATCTCTTTCCCTTCCTCTCTGTAAAAAATCAATAAAAATATATTTTTTAAAAAAGAAAGAAAGAGAGAGAGAGAGAGAGAGAGAGAGAGAGAGAGAGAGAGAGAGAGAGAGAGAAAGAAAGAAAGAAAGAAAGAAAGAAAGAAAGAAAGAAAGAAAGAAAGAAAGAAAGAAAGAAAGAAAGAAAGAAAGAAAGAAACGAAACGATGCAGGTCAGTTGGGAGTGGCAAGAAATAGTCCAAGTCACAAAGTGATAAATAGAAAAACTTGCAACCAAGATTACCCTACCCAGCAAAGCTATCATTCAGAATTGAAGGGCAAATAAAGAGCTTCACAGATAAGAAAAAGCTAAAGGAGTTCATCAGTATTATATGAAATACTGAACGGTATTCTTTAAGAAGAGGAAGAAGAAAAAGGTAAAGATAAAAATTATGAACAACAAATACATATCTATCAACAAGTGAATCTAAAAATCAAGTGAATAAAAAATTTGATGAACAGAATAAGCTGTTGAATATAATAGAATTAAGGGCATAGAAAGAGAGTGAACTGACAATTCTCAGGGGGAAAAGGGGTTCAGGGGTGTGGGAAGAGACTGCACAAAAGTCATACACCTATGGATGAGGACAGTGGGAGGGGAGGTAAAGACAAAGAACCAGATGGAGGGGAGCTATGGAAGAAAAAAAGAGGAACAACTGTAATAATCTGAACAATAAAAATTTAATTTAAAATTTTTTAAGTAATAAAGGAAGGAAGGAAGGAAGGAAGGAAGGAAGGAAGGAAGGAAGGAAGGAAGGAAGGAAGGAAAGAGAGAGAGAGAGAGAAGAGAAGGAGGAGAGAGAGGAAGAGAGAGAGAGAGAGAGAGAGAGAGAGAGAGAGGAGAGGAGAGGAGGAGAGACGGGAGGAGGAAGGAAGGAAGGAAGGAAGGAAGGAAGGAAGGAAGGAAGGAAGGAAGGAAGGAAGGAAGAAAGAAGGAAAAAAAGAATCTAGTTGCCTTCCCTTCACGGCTTTCATATATACCTTGTACCACCAGAATAGTGGGTTTTTCCCCCTGAAAATGCTCGACAGCTTTTTGTGCATCTGCTTAGTATACCCTGTACCCATCTCCATACCCCAGCTCCTACACACCTGTGGAAATCCTGTTTATCTTTCCATACCTAGTTCATACTCACGGACTACTTCTGCTTTTTGCTTTTTTCACCATACTTCTACCTGGTGGGGCCCGAGGATACAACATCCATTACAAATTAACCCATTGGAATAGAAATAAATTAATATCCCACTCAGTCTTTCCTTAGGACTATAATAGGCAGCACCCTTAGATTTTACATCTCCTACACAGCACCTTGGTTCTTTTCCCTCCAACCACACAATAACAGAAATTATTGTTGTTAATATAAGAAGAGCTTCCATTTAGTAAGCTTTTACCATAGATCAGACACTATGCCAAGTGCTTCACATGCATGATCTAAAATATTATCTCATTCAATCCTTATAACAATCCATAAATTATGTACTCATACTCACATTACATCTATGAAAATATTTAGAGAGAGTGACCTTCCCAGAGATACTTGGTTAGTAAGTGGAACTTTGGGTCCACAAAATCAGGACTTATTCAAAAGCCTGCAGTCTCTCCACAAAATTACACTGGGCTGAGTGATTCTCCTGGTTCTGGAGAAATAAATGGGGATTAGGACAGAATCCAGAAGAAGATGAAAGACTTTGATCTAAACTTTAAGCTAAAAGAATCAAGTTGGTCTTTAAGGTTTTTATATTGTTAAGACATTCAACAAGATAACAAGAAAGATAGTGATAAACATCAGAGGAATTAATAGCACACCAAAAAATTGACACTTGGCTAGAAATATATTTGGATTTATATCTCTTAGAAGTCTAAATAAAGCAGTCAGCAACAGATGGAGGTACACATGCAACAGGAGCTAAAGGAAACATAATATATAGTCTAGTTGACAAGATGAAATCCCAAAATTTGAACACTGCAATTAAAGAGCCATCTTCTCTACTAAATTGAATTAATTCAGTTGTATAACCCTTTTCAAGAATAAAAAGTCCATTAAAGAACATAAAACTAAATAAGTTTTACCATGTTATTAGTCTTTCAAATTATAATTACTTAATATATACTACTTTTACATTAATATAAGAAATAGAAGAATTCTGGGAACTAAGTCATGTCCATAAACCAGACAGGCAGAGGGACCCAGCAGAAACGAGCAAAGCCTGTAGGTCATCACATTCCATCTGAAAGATCCAGATGAAACCAAATGAAACAGCACTTCAACAACACGACTAAACAACTGCTGGGACTACTGAACTCGGAAACACAGCAAGGTAAGCAATCTGGGCGCTTCTAATATTGTTCCTCATTATTATAGGCAATTTGAAATAACATGTCAGTCCTGAATCCTAGCCATCAATATAATAAAGTAATAAAACAACTTTGTTTTCAGAGGATATCCTGGCATGTTCTTTGTGATTATTTATGTCTCTGAAAATACTAGAGAAAGAATGAAATTTATAGCTCATATAACTGATTGTCAGAGAAAACAAAGTGGTAAAGAAATGCATTCTAGCAAGGATTAAGGGTGAAATGACAGCTGTGTCACTGTGTGTTCCATGAATTGTTAAATGTCCTTTTATGTCACTAATCACATCAATATTAATTTCAAATCACATCAACATTAATTCCTCTCTTTAAGTTTCTATACCATTTGACAGTCCGTGCACTACTCTTATTCACAAAAGTATCCTGAGGAATTTTTATTTGAATACATGATAACCAATAGATTTTCATTTCATAAGGTAGTTCCTTTCCTGAAAAACTAAAATAATTGCATAATATCACTAAATAAACATTAACTTTTAGATACAATCATAGAAATGTTTCTACCACTTCTTGTATGCTTTTGAATGTTTATTTCTCAATTCAATAAAAGTGGCATGCATTCAGTAAGAATCCATCTGACTGAAGCTAGTCTTTGTTTCCATTCCAAATGCTAATCACTGGCGTTCCCCAATTTACTTCCTTTTTTACCAAATAAATTAAAATACATGTGATTTTCAAAATCTTTTTTAGCAACAGAGCACTAATCAAATACAATTTTACCCTCCCACAACAGAAACACAGCAACCCAAAAAAGCACAGTTGCTTCAGGGTAGACTGGGGTGAAATAGGCAGCCAGAGATCAAGCGCTCCCCCTACTGGCTAGTAATTCCCCATCAGACTATCTGGGCTCTCAAACCTATTTCAAGAGCTACTAGAATCAGGGCAGATACAACAGCACAAACTCTGCTGTTTAGAAGTAGATGGTAACAGTCTAGAGTGAATTTTTCAGTGACAGGGAGCTCTATCATGTGATAACAAATGATGTAAAAATTTACATTTACCATACAAAAGGTGCAGGTAATCAGTAGACCACTTAGCTACCTGCTAGTACCAATCTTTAAAAGTCATTTTTAAATTACTTTAAAATAATTTTTTAAACAGTGAATTTTAGCAGTTCATTTTTAAAAGGTGACCCATAAAAAATTAATAAGATAAGGGAAAGTATATGGTTCAGAAGTAATTTTAGGTACAATACTACATATTCTAAATAAGACATCACTTAGCCATACCTAAGTAATACCTAGGATCTCTAAGAAGGGTCACTCCAATTAATTGAAGGGCTTTTGTTTTGCTGAGTGAAGTAAGCAATTTGAGCATCGGAGCTAAATTGTCATGGTCAATAGTGGAAACGCTGTACATTACCAACTGTGGTTTTTTCCATGTGGTATATAAGCTCACCTCTAAATATCAAGTATATATATAGCAGTAATAAATTGAGAGGGTGCAAATTGTTAATCATCTTTGGATGACTGAATGTCTCCATATTGACTCAGTATCAATACATACTAAAGTGTGACTTGTTTAAAATTTGAATTTGCACAAGTCAAGCATCACCTCTATCTACAATTTTGAATGACATATTACTTTCAAGATGACATGTAATTTACTATCTTAACACATTGCGGACCAGTAGTTTTATTGCTAGCTTTACCTAGTGGCCAGATAAGTTTCTATTGAATGAGTACAAAAAACCGTTTTATATGAATGTTAAAAAGGATGCCTTAAAATTAAATACCCATTGCATTTTGAAGTTAAATCAGTCTTACAAACTAATATCTTTTTAAAGTATGATCCTTCTAAACCACTGTGCAATATGAAGCGAGAATTCTTGTGAGCCGTCCACAATGTGTTAACTAGAATAGAATTTTCATGAAAGCAAGAACCATGTCTTTTTCATTTTCGTGTGCTCTACAGAACCTAGCATCCCGCCTTATCCATAGTAAGGTGCTATTCAATTAGATAAATTGTTACTGAATTATTGAATTGCTTCCTTCACCAGGCTGTTCAAATTTCACCTAAGAAATAATTCATTAGTTTCACCTTCAAACCCCACCTCTCCTCCATCTAATTCTCTAGCATTTAATTCACTATTGGGACAGAAATAATCTTGTGTGGTCAGTACTGGAGCAGGTGTAGGAGCAGGCAAGCTGGAGATAAGGAACTCTCCCAACTACTTTCCCCAAGAAGAAAAGAGCTAGGAAGGTAAGCCAGACTTAGAAAAATAAAAGCCCTTTTCTATGATCTGATCTGAGCACTTCCTGATGTCTCTTACTCAAACTTGTTATTGGCACAAAATTATGAATTGGTGCCTGGATCATCTGGGTATAAAAGTGCGTGTGCAAGGGAGTCAGCATGTAAAGAAAGAAAATACTTCTAAATAAAAAAAAATATTTTTAAATGAAAAAAAGAAAGAAAATACTACTTTCGCAGTTGAAAAAATATTGTGTCTTTGACTTCTGGTAAGATTGAATTTTTCTTATCAGTTAGCTACTATTAGATTTACTGTCTGTTCAGTTATTTGCTAATTTAGGTATCAGATTATTACTTTATTAATAACATTTTTAAAAAATTAATATTTCATTTTTATTGTATTTTCATAGACTGCTTCTAGTTGCTTTTACATGATCATCTTTGTTAATCAAATTTTATTCTTTTTTCAATGTTTTTAAGTTTATAAAGTCCTCTTCTATACTGACATTTGAAAATTACCCATTTTCTCCTATTTTACTAGTTGATTTTTTACATATGTTATGCTAATAACATTTCAAAATCACTTTTAACCCCTAAAACTACTTCATTATGTCAGAATAATTTATAAAATAATAATCTCAATTATTATCAATCTGAAATACTATATTATATACTAAATCAAATGTGTAGAAGGGCCTGCTTTGAGGACTATTTTGTTCCACAATTCCATCTATTCTTTCACCTGTATAAAAATACTGGTTAGCCGAAACCGGTTTGGCTCAATGGATAGAGCGTCAGTCTGTGGACTGGAAGGTCCCAGGTTCTATTCTGGTCAAAGGCATGTACACTGGTTGCGGGCACATCCCCGGTAGGAGATGTGCAGGAGACAGCTGGTCGATGTTTCTCTCTCATCGAAGTTTCTAGCTCTCTATCCCTCCCCCTTCCTCTCTGTGGAAAATCAATAAAATATATATTTTTTAAAATAATAATAAAAAAATAAGTAAAAATACTGGTTAATATTGTATTTTGAGTGTTTTAATATTTGAGAAGGAAAAAATCCCATCATTTTTCCTGAAAAGATTATCCTCATCTATTCAGTCTTTTGGGTATATTTTATGATTTATTTGTTACGTGTGCTAAAATAATATATTTGTTAAGAAGAAATCGATCACTTGGAAGCATTTGACCTACCATCCCAGAAGAAAGTTCATTTCTCCATTTGATAACCTTGGGGTAAATACAACCACACACCTTTTCTGGAAGTTAGGCCTTCAGATAGTGGCATATGATAGTTGTTAGATAGAGTTCTACTTTTTCAAGGTAAGAAAAACTCCTCTCAACTAAATACCTGAATAGAGATGTAGATGGTGATCTTCTGAATTCAAAGTCAGAAAAGTAGAGTTTTCATTTCATGATAAGATCTGAAAACTAAGACCCCCCCCCCAAAAAAAAAAAAAAAGTTTAATAGAAAATTTCTAGAAGAAAAAAGATAAATCAAGTCCAAATTTATAGTTATAATTTCTGTATACAACCAGATGGTGAGTTTGGGGACTATTTAATAGACATTCAACAAACAATTTCTTTAAATGGGTATTTTTTAAGCACTGTCTTGGGGAGGTTTGGTCGTGTGTGTGTGTGTGTGTGTGTGTTTTACTGTATCTGAATCAAAGATAAAAATGAATTTTTGACCATGATAAAGTTTATTCCACCAGGGGTACCAGTGCACTTTTCTACATTTAACAGCATAGGTGATTGTGTTCCTCATCCATTTTTTAAATATCTTCCCCTCTCCATTTCCAAATTATATCTCTATGACTTCATGTTTCCTTTCTTGAGAGAGGAACACCTCACATCCTTTACCCCATACTTCTCAGGTTGCCCTTTCTAGCCTAAAAACCGTGATCCTAAATGAGGGCCCAAGATAGTATCTGCTCAAAGAGAGAATGTGCCAGATACCACACAAATATACATTTTTCTCTTTTGTTTCTTCCAAGAGTTTAAGTAAAAAATAAAAATGGCAGACACATAACAATCCTACTCAAGGTATGCACATTGAGTAGCATTGTTTTCACTAGGCTCACGCTTTTAGACAAATAACTCATAAGAACATGCTTATTCCTTTTTTCTCTCCGTGGTACTCTGAGCCAGGAGTGCAAACAAATGAGACTCCTACCAGACTTATTCTATTCACTCTATGGTGTGCTTTGCTACTTATTCCTTAATACTTCCGTGAAATGGCATTATCTTCTTTCGGTAACTCTAATAATGGCCAACCACAATACAGATTATTCTCAATAATTTATTTTATAAGCTTTGGAAATAGAATCAGAGAAATAGTCATAACTGCTGTCCCCTGCACCATGTCTTTTCTCCTCAAGTGAGATTGTAATGCAAAGAATCTTGAATCTATACTCTAATCACATGGATTTTTTTTTTTTTTTGGAAAGGTCTGTTATATTTGCCTTTCAATGTCCCTTAGGTTTAGAAAAATTGCCTGTAAAGTTATATAAAGGGATTTGAATATTGTAAATAACAGAGTATGTAAACAAAATTATATATTAATAGCCCTGTAAACTTAAAGATCTTAATATTCTTCTGGCCCTATTAACTTAACTCCAAATACTGAAGAAATCAACCCAATAGGTCTATTCAATGTGGTGACTAGAGGTTGGAGAAATAAATAACCATTAGCTCTGGTTATCAAGAGCTAACCATTTCAAACTGCAGTGTTTCAAATATGTTATTAAATATTATTTGAAAATAATCACATTTATTAACAATCAGATGCCTCAAAAACACAAATATTTCCTATCTAGGATCTCCCTTCACCACAAAATGTAATTCCTTAATGCATCCACAGGTTGTATTCTGTTACCTGCATTTCCACACACTGACTTCAAGTTTCATAAAAGTAATTGTTTTGAAGAACCTGTTGCATTTCCTGAGGAATTCCTTACATAGCATATTTATACTTAGCTATTCATGAAATAAAAGATTTCTTGGTCAAATCTAGCAAACAGCAGATATTTTTTAAAGATTTTAGTGGAAATTTACCATTTTATTTTTCAGAGATCATATTTGAAATATGGCGCAGAGTGACTTCCTCTACCCAGAGAACCCAAGGAGGCGGGAAGAAGTACACCATCTTCACCAACAGCTCCTTGACTGCTTATCTGACAGTTTCTGTGCCACCAATGAGCTAATTGGAGTTTTAAATATGCATTTGGGGTGTGGGCTTGCCTCCATTGAGATGAACAGAAATGGGACCATCAAAGAAAACTGTGATACCATTATCCAAGCCATGATGGAAATCCAAAAGGAATTGCAAAAGGTTGACGAAGCACTAAAAGATAAACTAGAGCCAACCCTTTATAGAAAACTTCAGGATGTTAAGGAAAGGGAAACAGAGAAAATTGCAGTCGTACAAAAGGTTATTTCAGTCATCCTGGGAGAAGCCACTTCTGCAGCCAGTGCAGTGGCTGTTAAACTCGTAGGCTCAAGTGTCACAACTGGCATAATTAACAAGTTGGTCACTGTGTTAGCTCAGATTGGTGCTTCTCTCCTTGGTAGTATAGGAGTTGCTGTTCTTGGCCTTGGCATAGATATGGTCTTCCGTGCCATCCTAGGAGCAGTGGAGAAAACGCAGCTACAAGCAGCCATCAAAAGTTATGAGAAGCATCTGGTGGAATTCAAGTCAGCCTCAGAAAAATATCATCATGCCATTACTGAGGTCACCAATACAGTGAAACACCAAATAAAATAAACAGCCACCTTTTTTGAAACTGGAATACTCTCTGCTTCTCTTTCAATAATAGTGTTTGGTTTCTTGGACTAGCTTCATTTTCCATAAGCTTCCAACATAGACATAAATATGGTAACAGATTGGAAAGATTACTTGAGTTTTGCTTCAGTGACAAATGCCTGGACAGGTTGGTGCTAGACCATGGGAGAGAATCTTAGGATTTGTTTAACTCTACTCTACCAGCTCAATATTAGGGCATATACTAATGTAGAGTAGCAGTTGTAAGGGTAACCTTTTCCTTCCTAATTTCAAGTCAAAAATCTTCAAAATGTACATTGAAAGCAGAAGTTTTTATTCCTAACACTTCAGACATAATTTAGTTCTAAGAGGACATACTTAGTAATTTCTGCCTGGACACAAATCCTGGACCTTTGAATGTAATAGAAACACTACCAAAATTTCAACCATCAGTTAAAATCCAATTTTCTGTAAACTGGAAAAGACTGGAATACGGTTTGTAACTTCTTACTTCTATGATGAAAAGAGTCAGTGGTTCTGTAAACTTCTAAATTATGCACTATAATCTGAATGGACTTTTAACAGATAAAAGTTAAAACTAAAAAAATAAAGGTTTTGTTTCTATAACGATAATCAACCCTGATCAACTGTTGTGTGATAATTAAATATCCCTCAAGTGAATGTTTGAACACTCTGGAACTTTTTTTTTTTTTTTTTTTTTTTTTAACAACTCCAAGATAAACCTGCAAATAATGCATTCAGAGTGCAGGAGAGGAAGTAGCAACTCTTTCAAGAATTTGTCATTCAGCCGAAACCAGTTTGGCTCAGTGGATAGAGCATCGGTCTGCGGACTGAAAGGTCCCGGGTTCGATTCCAGTTAAGGGCACGTACCTTGGTTGCGGGCACGTCTCCAGGTGTGCAAGAGGCAGCTGAAGAGGCAGCTGATCGATGATTCTCTCTCATCGATGTTTCTAACTCTCTATCCTTCTCTCTTCCTCTCTGTAAAAAATCAATAAAATATATTTAAAAAAAAATAATAATTTGTCATTCAGTTCTGGCTGGTTTGGCTCAGTGGATAGAGGGCCAACCTGCAGATTGACAGGTCCTAAATTCGATCCCATCAAGGGCTACAAATCCCGTTTGCAGACTCATTCCCCAGTAGGAGGCCTGTAGGAGGTAGCCCATCAATTATTTTTTCTCATCATTGAGGTATCTCTCTCTCTCTCTCCTTCTCCCTTCCTCTCTGAAATCAATAAAAATATATTTTAAAAGAAAAGGAATTTGTCATTCAAAGGAAAATCATAATTGATTATCTTATGAGTTTTCAGAAAAAAATAAATTTCACTATCAATACTATTAATAGTAGAATGGAGGAAGTTGTCCTTGCTATATAAAGCTTTGGGTAGCCCATTTTATTAATTACATTAATTTCAGAAATATCCAGATACTATGAAGGCCTAATGGTTCAATTAAATTTCTGCAGATGGAAATGTTTTCTAAACCCTGTACCAACTAATAATTTCCTATTCTTAGATTATACTTATAAAATTATTAATAAGCTATTAATGCAAAACTATATTTGTTGTAGATTCTTGCATCCAAGTTCAAGAAAAATCTTGAAATTTAAAAACCTCAGCATATCTCAAAAAGTAAGAGCTAGAATGAAATACATTAATTTTTCAAAAATATTAATTTTCTCTTCTATCATTGATTTTAATATTAGTTCCAAAATATTACTATTTACTTCAATATTAAATATTTTTGTTATTACCTAGTTTATAAGCTTTAAACTACAAGAACATTTTACTGTTCTTTTTGAGACTCAAGTCAGTCTAAAACCAAATCAAGGATTTCCTAAAACTACAGTTAGTTCAGATAAAGGACCAATCTTAAACAGTTAAGTGCACATTTAAATATTCTACCAAACATTAATATGTATCTCCACCAGTATTTTAGAATATTGATCATTGATTGTAAGAAATGACCTATATCTAACATTTTCTTATAAGGAATATTCAGAGTAAGATCAGAAATAAACAAGTGTATTCTTTAAGGAGATCATTTTTTTAAGTATTTAAAATTACCTTTAAGAGGAAATGACACGGGAGGAGACAGAAAGAGCGGATGGAGGAGAAAGAAAGAACCTTCGAACCCTAGAACTAAGGGAATAATCGCCTACGTATAGTGACATCACATAGGGGTTTTTGGCTGGTAAAAAGACCAGAAGCCAATTAATATAACCACCTCAGCTGTCCTAAATTTAAGACGGACAGTACAAGTATCCCCACACTTCCTTCTTGTAGATTAGTAATCCGGGACTCCAATAAGGGCACTGATGCATTTGCTCACATGTCTACAAACGTTCTGTGTCCATAAACAACTACTGAACTCCAGACGCTGGCAAAACACAGTAGCAAATATATATGTTTATTGGGGGATTCGTTTCCAAACAGATATTCCTAAAAGATCACACTAGCTTACGTCATGAAGAGAGAGGGGGAAAAAAGAATCCCAGAACCAGTACAACTCCAGGACGCAGAAACTCCGTAACACACTTCCCATCATTGAATCCACCGGTCTAAAACAATCAATTAAGCACCGGGTTTAGGTCGGACTATCTTTGGCCCAAGAGGCAGGGCCATCTTTATACCAGCCAATCACATCCGAGCCGGCTCGTTTCCTTATTCCTATTGGCCTACATAAGTGTCGATCAACCTGGCGTCTTTGTACTGCGTAACATTAGGGCGGGCTCTTAGTAGATAGCCAACCAATTGGGTTCCGTCTTGGAGCGGAAGCGACTCCAGCCGTGGAGTCCTTGGTTACGCCGTACGTCTCCAGGGCCGAGAAACGCCGAGATCTCGGGCCCACAGGGATAGGAAGTGACGTAGGGATGGTGGCGGGGCGCGAGGTTTCAAGATGGCGGTTGCTGGATAGCTGACCGGGAGCCGAGGTGAAGGCCCCTAACGAAGGGAAAGAGGCCGAGAACCCTCCCCTCCCGGCTCCTCGCAGTCCTGGAGCCCAGCAGGCGTGTGAGTGTGCGGGGTCGTCCCCATCGGGTTCTTCATCTCTCCCGTCCCTTCCAGGAGCCCGCGCGGTGGCCGCGGGGACGGTAGGCCCCTGAGCCCCGCTCTTCCTCCCCGCGGTTGGGGTCTCCCCGGGCGCGGACTAGAGGAGATCCCCGAACCTGGGGCGGAGCGGCGACCAGCGGTTTAGCTTAGCGGCGGACTTCGCCCCGGCCAGTTAGCGCCGCCTCCGGTCTGCCCGCGTTGGTTGGTAGGTGGCCTTGGGTTGGATGTCTGCACCTCGAGTCGGGGTCAACCGTCGCTATGGTTGCGGCGGTTGCCGCCGAGGTGACCCCGCGCTGGCGGTGGCTCCTTCCTTCCCCGGGGAGCCTCTCTGCCGGTGCGGAGCTCCCTCGTGGCCCCGGGGCCCGCCTTCCCTGCCGCCGGGGCTTTAAGACAACCCAGTCATGTGCGCAGACCAAAGCTGCGCCGTCTTCTGTAGACATGATTGTAAATAGTATTCTGGTTCCGTTTCGGAAAGAGCCGGAGGATACCGGGGAGAAGTAGGAGAGCTGGGATTCGTTCCGGCTTTGCTGCCGCGGCCCCCGGGGTCTCAGAGGATGAACCCCTCACCTGGCAGACTCGGTGCCACCGGAGCGCGCGGAAACACTGGGCACAAGCAGGGCAATCGAACACCTGCTGAAGAAGGCACTGATAATGCCTGATACAACCTTTATAGAGAAGGAAAGGTGTCCTTGTAAGGTCTACCTCTAAAAAGGCTACCTCCGGCCTGTAATGTTCCCAGTAAAAGGTTTATGGTTTTGTTGAGCGAGTCCTGGCCATTGTCTGTGTGAGTGCGCTTCTTGGTTAACACACTTTTAAAATGCTTTTTTCAGACCCCTCCAAAAAGTTTAAGGACCTTCAAGGGGCCACATTTTCTTCTTAACTATCCTGAAACCCAATCTTAGGTTTTTCCTCCCTTTCTCCCACCTCAGTGTAATAGTGCTCACATTCCCTCCTTAATGCCCAAGGTATAACAGGGACTGCAAAGCTGTCATCATCCAGAGCAATTTTGAGATCTTGCTGCCAGGCAGGGCATCAGTTTGGCTCAGATAAGCTCTAATAGGCTCTTTTACAACTTTCCTACAGGTTTGGACATTCTTATGTTGATCCTGGTAGTTTGGTGTTTTTTTTAATAAATAAGTGAACCACACAGATTGTCAACATGGGACGAAGATCTACATCATCCACCAAGAGTGGAAAATTTATGAACCCCACAGACCAAGCCCGTAAGTATCCATTAATGAGGATGCTGTAGAGAAGTTGTAGAAATTGTAAGCATTAGGGGATCTATTTCTTGATGTCCTAATTAACAAGACCAGCAGTGCTAGGAGTCAGTTGTGTGAAGTTATCCAGTGTTCTTGTGGGTACATGATTAACACTTCAAACATGAAAAAAAAAAAAAAAAATTCACACCCATATTTCTAATTTGATTGACTTGCACAATAGAATTAGCTTAAAGCTTTCTTTATGTATTCCGAATTCTGAACAAATTAAGTTTCCAGGTTCTTTAATATTTTATGGCATATTTTTTTTCTTTATGTACCTAATTGTTAAGAAAACAAAAAGACATTTTTAGTTGACAAATTAGAAGGGTGCTAGTAGTAGCCAGTAGGTAGAAGCCAGTGATGCTGCTAAAAGACCCACAGAGGACAAGACAGCCACACACAATATGAATTATCTGTGTTGAGGAAATGCTGTAATGGTCACGATTTGAAAGGTCTGTCTTCTCTCTTTCTCTTTCTCAAGGGAAAGAAGCCCGGAAGAGAGAATTAAAGAAGGTATGATTTCAGATTATCAAATTAGCTATAAGTGTTGTTTGTCACATCTTACATTTGGGGTTAGTGGATTTTAATATGACATTTTCAATTATTTGCCAGAAAATATACTTCTTATAATAAGCCATAAAATTTACTAATCCGAAATATCATACAAATGCTCCTTGACTTAAGATGAGGTTACTGTTATGTCCTGATAAATCCATCATAAATTGAAAATATCTTAAGTAAAAACGCTTTTAATAGCTTAGCCTACCTTACCTTAAACATACTCAGAACACATACATTAGGCTACAGTTGGGCAAAATCACCTTGCTGCTGCCCAGCATCATGAGAAATTGTCGTACTGCATATGGCTAGCCCAGAAAAGGATCTAAATTTGAGGTTCTACTGAATGTACATGACTTCGGCACCATGGTAAAGTCAGACCATGGGAAGTCAGGGCCATCTGTACCTGGAAACTGAAGTGAGTAACCTTGCAGATAGCTCACAATGTGTCACATTGTTTACTTGATTAGGTTTCCCAGTGAGCTAAGGAAATACTTGTGAAAGTCACTTTTTTGTTAGTTATTATGATATACTACTTTGTTAACAGCTACTGAACTAGTGAATGAAAATAAATGTGATGCTGAATTGTTCATTGTCCTGGTTTTGTAGATGAAGAGTTTGTGACAAAGTACTTCCCAAAATAAGGAAGGATTTACTTGTTAGTATAATACCTTAACATGTTGAGAAAATGTTAAGGTTTTAATTGTTTTCAATTGTGTATTTTTGTTGCATTATTTTAGTATTAAAATCCTTCAAAACTTTACTGGTATATAATTTTAGAATGTAGCTGAAACCTTTGTTTATTAAGTAAAAAAGCTAAAATATTTTAAGTGACTGCTTTAGGTCTCATAAATACTTGCCTCAAAAAGCACTTCTAATAAATAACATTTATTTACCTCTTTGTCAAAAGTTGAAACATTTCTTTAGAGTAAAAAGTTAAATAGTTCTCTTTCTGGTGAGATCAGAAACCAAGAAGTTCAATCCCAGTTTAAATAGATTCTGGAAGCAGATTGAAATAAAAACTCATGAGTGTCCAACTTCTTGATATACTGCTCTTTCCTTTTCCCAAGAACAAAAAACAGCGCATGATGGTACGAGCTGCAGTTTTGAAGATGAAGGATCCCAAACAAATTATCCGGGACATGGAGAAATTGGATGAAATGGGTAAGAATTTATTAAAAGGCTAGATTTTATGGCAAAAATAACAGTCTGATACACAGAGGCAGGCATGCAGATACTGAGTGAAGCAGAGCAGGCATAAGAAAAACTAAGGCATGGTGGCATTTGATCTTTGAATTTGGTTTTAATATCAGAACAATAAAATGGGGTGGTGGGAGTTAATTGTAAACAAGATAACCTAGAATAAGAGGGAAGCCATTAATTAGCTTGAGCTCATTGTTACTAGGTAATAAACACCCACTTTGGCTAGCTCATTGTTTTTGAGAGAAGACGGATATCTGGCTTCTCAAATCACCTTGAGGTTTTTTGTTAGTCTTGTTTTGTTTTTTTAATTTTGACAGCTACCGAGTAAATCTATTAGGCCCCATGAGTATATCAGTTTCCCATTTTTTCCAATGAGATTATCCACAGGTACTTGACTACTTAGTAAGGATATAGCAGAAATCATCAAATACTTAATATCAATTACCATATTGGGATCCCTCCCCCCCTTTTTTTTTTTTCACATTTCATACTTTTATTTAATCTCTATAGGAATCTTCAGTATCACTGCTTTGTCATAACTGGAACCACATGAGGTCACTAGATGTTATCTTTCCTTGCATCTAAGGTAGATAGAGAATCCTGTGTGATTCTGCCACTGGAAATTTTATTCCACAGATACTTACTTTCTTAATATTAGAACATGGGATTTTAAATTTTTTTTAATAGAAGTTTCCCAACATGCATAATTAGTCAACTCCTATGTGCTTTTTAGCTGTCGAGTTTTTGCCACTCTTTCTTCTGCCTCTGCCACTTTTTTAATTACATATTAAAGTGAACTTTATAACTTTTGTTTACAAAGGTACCCAAAATATTTCAGTTGTTTGCTCAAAAACAGTAAGAGTTACAGTGGATCTCCTTGATGATGCATTAAATGGGGTCCCAAAAAAATCCAGCTTCATGTGCATGCAGTATTTATCAGCATTCTAAAGTAATTTGGCAGAGCCTGTGCACTAACCTTGGCAAGCGTTCTGGGCCAGGCTGCATGATGCCAAATCTTCCCCAGTTCAGCTGTAACTGATCCACTTGTTGCCTCGAGTCTAAATTCCAGTAAGGACAAATGCTGTCCCCAGAGTATCAGGATATTTATTACCTATTAAATGATCCTACATTGATTTAGGAACTTTAATCACACCAGGAATACTATGGTGTAAGATAATACCTTCTGGTTTTGAATAAATTGACAAGTTAATGAGATTTAGAGAAGATAATTAAATTTGTTAGTCAATAAGAAAAAGGGAGAAAGGGCCGAAACCGGTTTGGCTCAATGGATAGAGCGTCGGCTTGGGGACTGAAGGGTCCCGGATTCGATTCCGGTCAAGGGCATGTACCTTGGTTGTGGGCATATCCCCAGTAGGGGATGTGCAAGAGGCAGCTGATTGATGACTCTCTCTCATCAGTGTTTCTTAACTCTCTCTCTCCCATCCTCCCTGTACAAAATCAATAAAATATATTTAAAAAAAAAAGAAGAAAAGAAAGAAAAAGGGAGAACAGAACACTATATCAGCATTCTAATTACAATATAGAAAATTCAGTATAAACTAATTTAATCAGAAAAAAAAAAAACAGTATGCATTGACTCCCATAATTTGGAAATCCCTAAGGGCTGCTGACCTCAAAAACCCAGATATCATTATCAAGCCTATTCATCTCTCTCTGGTCTTTTTATGTTATCTTTATTCAGAATACTAATGAATTTCTTGGGGTAGAAGATAGAATAAGTATGGAAAATGAATGGTGGTTGGGAGACAAGGTCACAGATAGCTCTAGGTTTATTTCATCTCTGTTGTGAAAGCTTCTTTCTCCCACATCTGCATTTTAAAACCTCAGACAGGGATCTGGCTTCAGTTTGGATCATGTACCATTTGATCTCTGAGTCAGTCTCCGGCAAGAGTGATGGAGGGGGACAGGTATGACTGCCAGGCAGATTTGGGAAGAGAAGGTTATATGGTAACAAGACAAAACAACATAGTTAAATGATGAACCAGACACCTCTAGATATTTTTTATGTGATCCCATTTAATCACCAGACCTTGTTGTGGCATAGTTGATGTCCCCATTTTGCAGATGAAGAAGCTGATAATAAAAGAATTTAAATAAAGTGCCCGAGATCTCCGAATTAAATGACAGAGCCAAGGATTTAGGTCTCTGGCTGAAGCTTAACTATATCAGTCATTAGCATAGAGGAGTGAAAGTTGATTTTTATTATAGTGATGATGGTATAATTAGGTGACATTTCTTAGGAAAATACAATAAATGGCCCTCTTAAAAAAGTGTAATTTTCATAAGTACCTATTGCAGTTCTTTAGGAATTGTAGGATATATCTGGTGCCTACCTCCCTTTTAAAAATGTTACAATAAAAATTTTTTATTAAATCATGTAGTCTCTTGACAAACTAAATGAAGTGACTTTTTTAATTCCATAATCTCTTTTCTCTCAGAGTTTAACCCAGTGCAACAGCCACAATTAAATGAGAAGGTGCTGAAAGACAAGCGTAAAAAGCTGCGTGAAACCTTTGAACGTATTCTACGACTCTATGAAAAAGAGAATCCAGATATTTACAAAGAATTGAGAAAGCTAGAAGTAGAATATGAACAGAAAAGGGCTCAACTTAGCCAATATTTTGATGCTGTGAAGGTAATTAGTTTTTTTTTGAAAGAGAAACTAAAGTGTTATATTTAGGATTTGCACTTAAGCCTGTTAATGGGAGAATTGATTGTTGAACCTCTTCCTCTTGGCAATTTTTTATCAAACTGAACATATACAAGAAAAATTAATCCATCTGCTAACACATTAATAGACAAAAACTGGAAATTGCTCAGGTATTTTTAAATCTCAAAAACCAAACATACCAAACTTCTATAGTTATGATTCCATTTGTTTGATATTGTAGCACAGGGGGGAAAAAAAAATTGTAGCGGCAATTGTTTTGGGATATCATTAGGGATTAACTGGGAATTACTACAATAGTATGACTACTTGCTTTTGTCAGAACTCATTGAATTTTAAATGTCATTGTAAATTTTGCCTCAAAATAAAATTGTAAAACACCAAATGCTATAATTTTTGTAAAGTAGGTAGTATGGGTTCCCATTTACTGAAAAAGAAAACTAAGATAACTTGCTCAGAGTCATGCCCCTAATATGTGGCAGAACTTCATCAAAGGCAAACGAATGTTAGAGTTCAAGCTCTGCCACTGGAAATAAATACTCTGTTAATTGATATATGGTATTTGTCATTCAGAATATTAAATAGGGTGGCTTTAGTAGCAGACACCTACACTCCTCTAAACAGCATTTCAAACCAAAACCAAAAAGAATTAATTGATACAGGGAGAAAAACAATTGGATATGGTTCTTTTAGAGGAGATAGATGATTTTTTTTTTTTTTCCAGTTCATTGACAGACTGGAAATATTGATGAGGCCTGTTCTTAATTTTTTGTGACATACATTTTAGGTGAAAAGCAAATCCCAAGTTTTTCAGCTGACATTGAATTTTTAGTGTCAAGTTTGTGGATTACTCTTACCTTCTACTGACAGATTTTCTCTGTTTCAGAATGCTCAGCATGTGGAAGTGGATAGTATCCCTTTGCCGGATATGCCTCATGCTCCTTCCAACATCTTGATCCAAGATATTCCACTTCCTGGTGCCCAGCCACCCTCCATCCTTAAGAAGACCTCAGCCTATGGGTAAGTTGTAGCATAATCAAATCACATGTATCAAAAGCACCTCTGGACTATCTAGAGCCAAAATTAATGCAGCAGGAAGTAAAAGACAATGTAAATATAAGCAGCATCTGAATTGATTAAAAATGAAATTTTAAAGTTCCTTGGAAATGGTTTAGAAGAGGAAGTAAGTACTACTGTTAACCTATGAAATTTTATTTACAGGCCTCCTACTAGGGCAGTCTCTATTCTTCCTCTTCTTGGGCATGGTGTTCCACGTTTGCCCCCTGGTAGAAAGCCTCCTGGTCCGCCCCCTGGTCCACCTCCTCCTCAGGTCTTGCAAATGTATGGCCGAAAAGTGGGTTTTGCCCTGGATCTTCCCCCTCGCCGGCGAGATGAAGACATGTTATATAGTCCTGAACTTGGTAAGGAGTGAAGGTTCCTTTTGCTATTACAGCCCTTCCCCTGTCATTTGTTTTGTTGGCCCCATTCACCACCCTCAGAATTTGGGAAATAAATGATGATACCATGTACATACTAAAGGATGGATAAATCATAGGATCTAGCCAAGTAAAAGCATCAAAAATAACAAAGTATAGAAATGTTTGTTTTGTTTCAAATTAGGCTATTCCTAGAAATACCACTCACTAGCAATTCCCTAAGACTTAGCTATCTGTTTCCCTTTCAGCTTTGTCATCTGCACTGAGTATTATTGTTTAGTCATAGTGATTGTGTATATGTGTATGTTTACAACCTCCTAAATGTAATTTGTTTTCAAATTTGAATTTTAACTATTGTGAAATGAAAATATTGTCAGACCATCTGAATAGCTGAGATCTACACAAACTTTTAAAACAGATAATTGTGTTACATAATAAGCATAATTTTCTCTGTTTCGGAGTATCATGTAAAGGAGGATCCAATCATATTATTTGTTCCCTCCTCCCTTTTCAGCTCAAAGGGGTCATGATGATGATGTTTCCAGCACCAGTGAAGATGATGGCTATCCTGAGGACATGGATCAAGATAAGCATGATGACAGTACTGATGACAGCGACACTGACCGATCAGATGGAGAAAGTGAAGGAGATGAATTTGTGCACCGAGATGATAATGAAAGAAGTAACAATGAAGAAAAAAAATCAGGTATGTGTAGATGAAAGTTTCATGGTATTGATCAATAAATAGGACACAGACTGAAGTCCAGATTTATTAGTGCATCTGTGGAAATAATTGTGAGCTCCTTGCAAGGAAGGATCATAGTTGTATTCTTTATATCTCAGCTCTCTCAAAGTTCTTGACACATAGCAAGTACTAATGGATGTAAAAACAATTAAGCTATAAATATAATAAAAACGTCTTTTGAAGGGGAAGATAATAGCTATTCAACAGCATAAAGATGTACTCATGGGTATTTATAAGTCTATTTAAATATCTACATTTAAATACCTACCTTTAAATTATGTATGATCATGGTATATTAAATGAACCAGAACCATAATTATTCAAATAGGCCATTGGGGTCATGACTTAATGGAAACATGTTATATCCATAACGTATGTTATGTGTTTGATTACTATAAATTCAGACTGAGTTAGGTGTGATTTTAAAAAGTAATTATGATATTCATCAAGAAAATTTCAACCATTGTAATAGATATTGAGCATTATAAAATGTATAATGCGTCACACCCCAAAAGTCTTAGAGTTTCTTTTGGAATTATTTTTGTAGCCTACCACTTCTGTATTTATGTTTTAATAATATTAGTATTTATAATAATGACATTTTTTCTCCTGTTAAGAATTATGGTTGCAAATCAAAAAGCTAATTTAAAAGAGTGGATGGAGAGAACTGGTAATGAAAAATTGTGGAGCACCCTTATTATGGAGCTATTACTAGAAAGTAGAAAGCCCTTAGAGCTACAGCAGCTCCCATTTCTTCTGGGACCTTGTGATCTTTGCTTATTTTCCTCTTTCTGACAACTGTTTTTTTTAACATGTACTTATCAGTGCACACTTGATCAGTGCATTCATTCAGATCATATTTACTGAGTTTTTACTATATACAAGGCATTTTTGCAGACACTAAGGATGTGGTATAAACAAAACTAAAGCCCACCTACATAGAATTCTTATCCTTTTGTAAATAATTACCAAGAATGCTCCTAACACTGCATCATTTCGTATGATGTTGAAAAGTATCTAGTGAATAGCCTTTTTGTCAGTTAAGAAGTTCCCTCCTAGTTCTAGTTTTCTAAGAACTATAATAAATACTTTTTAAGCATCTGTCGGAATGTTTAATTTTTTATTGTAATGAACTGCATAGTGGCTTGTCTAGGGTAAAAGACAAAAGATTCACATTATAGCGCTTTTGTAATGTTAAACCATCTTGCATTTCTGGGACCAATCTTTTGTGTTAACAATTTCTTTTTTATTTACTTTTTTTTTTTTTAATATATTTTATTGATTTTTTACAGAGAGGAGAGAGGGATAGAGAGCTAGAAACGTCGATGAGAGAGAAACATCAACCAGATACCTCTTGCACACCCCCTACCGGGGATGTGCCCGCAACCAATGTACATGTCCTTGACTGGAATCGAACCTGGGACCTTCCAGTCCGCAGACCGACACTCTTAACACTGAGCCAAACTGGTTTCGGCTCTTTTTTAAACTGTCATTCAATTTGCTTATATTTTATGCTGGCTGATAGGTTAGTTTTGGTATCATTTTGATATCATTTAGTATAATGCTAGTTTCATGAGTTCTGGATAGCATTCCATCCTTACCTCTTCCCTTTTACAGGAAATTTCTGTAACGTAATGTTTGGCTGAATTTCCTTATAAAAACCATTTTAGCCAGGTGCCTTTTAGTGAGTAAATCTTTGACAACCATTTCATTTTTGTTTAGTCTGGTCTTACCACTTCTTTTACCAATTTTAGTAACTTACATTCTTAAAAATTATCTATTTTTATCTTGGTGTTCAATTTTATTGGCATAAAGATGTTATTAGTATTCTTGAAGTTTGTTGGGGTTTTTTTAATCACTTTTAAATCACTATAGCATGTATTTACCAACAGTTGGCACTTTATATACTACCTTTAATATGGCTCTTTTTCTGTGCTTATCTTCTGCAAATTTTTTTAGGAAATTTACATGCAGCATTTGTGTCTAGTAATTTAAGGCATATGTTATTTAGTAAGCATTTACTGAATTTTGTTGATACCAATTCAACCCTCTTTCTCTCCCTCCTCTGGCACCTTAGGTCTGAGTGTACGATTCGCAGATATGCCTGGGAAATCAAGGAAGAAGAAGAAGAACATTAAGGAGCTGACTCCTCTTCAAGCTATGATGCTTCGAATGGCAGGTAAGGTAGGGAAAGAGTAGTGAATCACCTTTTGGTATTTCCTCATGCCAGTTTCTTTATGTACGTTTTCCCTTTAGTATCCCATCCACCCTGAAATAAGTAATAAATCCTCATTTTACAAAAGGTAAGGTTTGGAGACGTTAAGGTGCCCAAAGCTACACACAGCTAGTAAATGGTTGAACTGGCATTTAAATCCAGGTCTGTCTTGTTCTAAAGCCTGCTCCATCATGCTGCACCAGCACAGATGAGTGGAATGCCATTTGATTCTTCCACATCTTAGGTATTTTATTGAAGAAGTCTATTTGGTTGTTAATTTTAAGAAAGCATTTATTGAGCATGTGTCTTCAATCATCACTCTTTTACTGGCTCCTTGTCTGTAAAAAAGTAGTCAACTTCATTTACCTGGTTTAAAATTTCTTTCAGGTCAGGAAATCCCTGAGGAGGGACGAGAAGTAGAGGAGTTTTCAGAGGATGATGATGAAGGTGATTCAGACGATTCTGAAGCAGAAAAGCAGTCACAAAAGCAGCATAAAGAGGAGTCTCTTTCTGATGGCACATCTGCTTCCTCACAGCAGCAAGCTCCCCCACAGTCTGTTCCCCCTTCTCAGATACAGGCACCTCCCATGCCAGGACCACCTCCTCTTGGACCACCTCCTGCTCCACCTTTACGGCCACCTGGACCACCTACAGGCCTTCCTCCTGGACCACCTCCAGGTAAGCATTTCCATTTGCGAGTAAATAAGTCCACATGTAGTTAGAGTGAAGTTATTTCAAAAAATTTATATCATTAGTATTGATGTTTTCTTATTTATCCTGGTGCAATTTCTTTCTTTTTTTATATATATATATATTTTATTGATTTTTTACAGAAAGGAGGAGAGAGGGATAGAGAGCTAGAAACGTCGATGAGAGAGAAACATCGACCAGCTGCCTCTTGCACACCCCCTACCAGGGATGTGCCCGCAACCAAGGTACATGCCCTTGACCGGAATCGAACCCGGGACCTTTCAGTCCGCAGACCGACGCTCTACCACTGAGCCAAACCAGTTTCGGCAATTTCTTAAATCAAGGATTCTCAAAGGATAAGTGCAACTGGTATATTCTTCCAGCGTTGTTTCTGATACCCATCTTTTTCTCCCAAAAATCTTCCTTTTTCATCATTAGTTCTGATCCTAGCAGGTAGAAACTGGAGTATTTAACCGAGAGTTTATTTAATACTGCTTTTTTTTTTTTTTTTTTTTTTTTAGAGAGAGAAAGGGAGAGAGATAGCTAGAAACGTCGATGAGAGAGAAACATCGACCAGTTGCCTCTTGCGCACCCCCTACCAGTGATGTGCCAGCAACCAATGTACATGCCCTTGACCAGAATCGAACCTGGGACCTTTTATTCCGCAGACTGACACTCTACCGCGGAGCCAAACCAGTTTCGGCTAATACTGCTTTTTAATATGACAAGTTGACCCCATTTAAAATTGGAAGCCAGTGGTACTAGAATACAGTAAATATTAATCTCATATCCTTTGGTTTGGGGATTATTGGATGTCAGTGTAATCTTTATAGATAGAGACAATCTTTATAGTTAACCAGGTCATTGGCTTAAAATATAAAAAGTTTATTTATAATATGAAACAACAGAACTTGACTTTTCATAATTTTATTTATTCTCTACAGCCAATTAAGTTCTCTTCAATTTAATTCATCTTTTTCCTATTGGTCCAAAGCAAAATGACCTATCTTATGTCATTCTCAGTGGTCTTTGTCTTTATGAGTTTAGGAGGTCATTAAAGCACTTTACTTTATAGTCCATTTTCAGCTCATGTTGGAACCATTTAAAAATTCTTCTCACTTCCATATGTTTCCAGCCCAACAGAGTTGTGATTGCAAATCCTTTTGGTCAGTGCTGGGAAAAAAAGGTGATCCGAAAGAAATTCAGTACCCTATCTCTGGTGCTGATATTTGTTGGATGAGTTCTGCTTCACACATTTCAATCAGTTTTTGAAGTTATCGGATTACAGGTTAAAGTGATAAATCGTATCACATTTGAGTTACTTTTATTTATATCATAGTTACTACTTCATATATATTTGTTTGACATTAATTTATCCTTACCTTTTCAGGAGCTCCTCCATTCCTGAGACCACCTGGAATGCCAGGACTCCGAGGGCCTTTACCCCGACTTTTACCTCCAGGGCCACCACCAGGCCGACCCCCTGGCCCTCCTCCGGGTCCACCTCCAGGTCTGCCTCCTGGCCCTCCTCCTCGGGGACCCCCACCAAGGCTACCTCCCCCTGCACCTCCAGGTAAGGCTTTTTATTTCCAGAGCGAACACTTGTCTGGGTGGGGCAAAAGTAGGTCTATGGTTGTAGTTATGCAAACACAGTTTATTCTTGTAGCATTATTGATTAGTTATTGTATTATTTTCTATTCAACCAACTGTGAACCTACTTTTGCCCAATCTGTATATTTTATTTGCTTTAGGACATAGTTTCACATTTCAATAATCTGAATTGAAGGAGTAGCTTAAAATGGTGTTTTTCATTGCTATTATCCTGGGTTGAACTTGAATTCTTTCCTAGAGTATTTTCATCACTTCTGCCTGTCACTTGAGGGATGCTCCAGCCAGAGACCACTTTGGATTAAACTCTCCATTTGAGTTTTTAGTTCATTTATAATTGTAGTGATTCCATTCATCTACATAAGTACCAACTTAAAGTTCAAAATCACAAGGATGTTTGTTTGTTTTTTCTCAATCCAGTTTCAATGCTAGATATGCAAACTTCCTTGTGTTATTATGTGTGGCAATTATAATTTTGGTTTCTTGCACTGACTATCTCAGTTTAATATAAAGGTCTTTTAAGCCCCCAACTTGGACATTTTTTTCCCTCTCTTAATTCTATATGGAATATTTATGAGTTTGTATAAGCCATAGCATCTTAGATTTGACAAAATTTGGTACTCAATATTTATTCATAAAAATGGCAGTTGAAGAAAATTAAACCTGTTGTTCTTAGTAAAATATGTCTGAACTGTTAATGGGACTTGGATTCTTTTCCAAGAATGGTGACATACTGTGATTAGTTACATATCTTATTTCCCACTCATGCAGTTGCCATGTTGTGGGGAGGAGTAATGTGGAGATCAAACCCCATGGGAATCAAAGCCCAACTTTGTCTGCACTATACAGCTAGAATAGACTCTTGGGCTGTCAAATTTGAAACTTAACTACTTTAAAATCATATTTAAAACTAGTTGATGTTTTCAGTTTTACTTAATATTTTAAAGTAGTACATTGTTTAGAGAAGAAAACATTACTACTGTAAGTACAAAATACAGACTAAAGGTGAATATTGTTCTATAATAAACGAGAGGCCCAATGCATGAAATTTCATGCAAGAATGGGCCTTCCTTCCCCTGGCTGCCGGCACTGCCTGCACTCTGGCTTGAGCTGCCTTTCTGCTGTGGCCTGGAGCAGCCTTTCCACTCTGGCCCAGAGTAGCCTTTCTGCCTTCACACGCTGCCCAGAGGCCCAGAGCAGCTGGGGTGGTGCGGAATGCCTGCGTCCCACAGTCGCTTGGTGCCTGTGTATGCAAATTAACCTGTCATCTTTGTTGGGTTAATTTGCATACTTTCTCCTGATTGGCTGGTGGGTGTCACAAAGGTATAGTCAATTAGTATGTTACTCTTTTATTAGGTAGATAAATTCCTTACTATCAGAATATGTTTAAATTTTAAATAGTAGCATGATTTCAGATTATTTTATGTAAATTGTCTTTTTTTTTTTTTTTTTTTTTTTTTTAAGATGTCAGCTTGTTTATAACACCTTAGTTGCAATTATATTTTATTAGTTCCTGTAGTGTTCATCAGCCTGTTTTCTCCTTCATTTAGGTATCCCTCCACCTCGTCCTGGCATGATGCGCCCACCTTTGGTGCCTCCACTCGGACCTGCCCCACCTGGGCTTTTCCCACCGGCTCCCTTGCCAAACCCAGGAGTTTTAAGTGCTCCACCCAACTTGATTCAGCGACCCAAGGCGGATGACACCAGTGCAGCCACCATTGAGAAGAAAGCCACAGCAACCATCAGTGCCAAGCCACAAATCACTAATCCCAAGGCAGAGATTACTCGGTTCGTGCCCACCGCACTGAGGGTCCGCCGGGAGAATAAAGGGGCCACTGCTGCTCCCCAGAGAAAGTCAGAGGATGATTCTGCTGTGCCTCTTGCCAAAGCAGCTCCCAAATCTGGTCCAACTGTTCCTGTCTCAGTACAAACTAAGGATGATGTATATGAAGCTTTTATGAAAGAAATGGAAGGGCTGCTGTGACAACTTTTGATGCTGGATCACACTTCTGTTCATATCATTGGTTCGTGGAAAAAGAGGCTCTTAGGAAACTTAGACAAAAGAGCTACTTTTATTGTCAGGGTATTTTCTAATTTCAGTTGAAGGAATATCTAGAAGTTTAGTCTTGTTTGGAATTCACTGCATACAAGAAAGGGTATTTCACTCAGGCTAGGTTGGTTACTGAAGCAGTTCTGCTGCAAACGTCCATTCCCTTTCATACCACCACCTTCATCCCATTTCTTCCCCTCTCCAGTCCTTTGGAACTTGTGATCTGGGGCATATTTGTATGGATTCTCTTGTGTGCTGTGGACTCTGGAGTAGAGATTTTTTGGGGGAGGAAACAGTTTATTTTACTCCATCTTGCCTTTTGTGTTTATTTTTAATATTTTCTTGTAAATATTTTGTAATATTGTAGTGAAATGGATCACAACGTCATTTCCTAATACAAAGCAAGACATGTGGGAAGAAAATGTACAATTCCTTAATTAAAATTATTTCCCACTGACATAAACTTTGAGTGTTTCATGAAATAAATGTTCTACCCCAAGATCCTCTGAGTTCCTGATAATGTATAAACATATTATATTTTTTATGATCAGAAAAGTACCTTGAGTTTAAAAGTATAGAATGAGAATCTTATTGAAACTAAGTTTTAAAGTTAAGGGATAAAGAAGAGAAATAATTATTTTCCCTCAGAACTACCTTATTGACTTTTAAAAAATTGAGAGGTGTTATTTATTGCTAAGAACATATTTAGTCTTATCCTCAAAAATAACATTCCCCTGGAGCTTTGTGAACTGATTGAATGGAAAACCTTTTGAGACATTTTTATAACTATTACAAGAAAAAGAAAAGGTTACTTTTTTTTAGTGTGTTGGATTTATTAAGCTTTCCTTTATTAAAAGTACATACAATGCATAAGAATGCTTAATGATGTTAATTTGCATTGGTAATATTTGCATTGGTAATATTTTATTTTCAAAGTGCTTTAATCACTCATCTACCCTATAATTCTGGGAAATAACTTTAAAAGATATTTTCCCCATTTTAGAGATGAGAGTATCAAAGCTGAAAGGCTCATGTGATTAACCCAGTGGCCCAATAGATAGTTTATTTCATAGACAGACATACACATGCCTATGTGTGCGCACACACACACACAAACACAAACACACAATCAAACAATGTATGCATTGCATTCAGACTAGGCATACCTATTATTACTTCCCATTATATCTTAGGTCCCTTTCATGTATACCTAAAAGATAACGAATAATATAAGATTTATTGAATAATGTATGAAAGAGGGAGAAGTCATTTAATATATGTATAATAAATGGTTAATATGGTAAATCTCAAAATAGTGTTTGGCACATGGTAAATATGTGTTTATTAGAACTATATTTGCATTTCAGAATGAGACTTGTGACTATGGGTTGGGGATAGATGGACTTAAGGGTGAAAGACCGGGTTTGGGAAGATGCATTAGGAGGCCATTGCAGGCAGAAGATGGAGAATGCCCAGACAGCACAGGGAGGTGGAAGAGTTGAAAGATCTATTGCAGAGATAGAAATCACAAGACTATTATCAATTTGATGCAGGGAGTGAGGCAGAAGAGAAGAATTTAAGGTCTCCAATTTAGGGCTTGGGTAGTAGGCAGCATCAGTAGGGAATAAAAGGTGTGAAGCTGTAGAGAAAAAGGATGGTAGCAGCAACTAACAGGGTGTTTACTGTGTGCCAGGCATCCTACAACGTGTTTTATGTGTATTAATTTAATCCTTAACCCTGTGAAGTACCTACCCATCATTTCCTTCGTTTTACAGATGTGTTAATTGAGGGGTATAGAATGAAGGAATGGGCCCAGTTTGGGACAGGCTGCATTTCAGATCCCTGTGAGATAATCTTAGGAAATCTTGAGTAGGCCAGTGAAGTATGAAGCTCAGGAGGCAGGTAGAGGATATTATAAGCACTGAATGAGAGAAAATACCAAAGGGAAAGGAAAGTGAAGCAGAAAAGTATAATCAATAATAATAGTGATTGAGCTCTTACCATACACTAGTCACTAACTGCTAGAAAATAAGGAATTATTACCCTACTTTAAATATATATATATATATATTTTTATTGATTTCAGAAAGAAAGGGTGAGGAGAGAGAAACATCAAACATGAGAATCATTGATTGACTACCTCCTGCATGCCCCCTACTGGGGATTGATCCTGCAACCCAGGCATATGCCCTTGACTGGAATCAAACCTGGGACCCTTCAGTCTGCAGGCCAACACTCTATCCACTGAGCCAAATGGGCTAGGGCTCCCTACTTCTATGAAGGAGAAAACCAATGCTTAGTAAACATAAATGTCCAGATTTTTATTGGATTGAGTGTTTTTTATGACAATTTTTTTAATTATATGACAAGTTCAAATCAGGATAACATTGATTTTTATTTGGGCTGGGCAAATGGGAAGCTGAATATTGGGAGAAGGGAGGAAAGTAAGGCCACCACATTTATTTTATATATTCATTTACATATATAAGTATATAAGTATGTAAATTTAAAATTATTAGAAATATATGGATTACCATGTTAAACTGAAACATCTAAATGAAGGCCAAAAAAAGTCCTTTGAACAAGGGAATGTTAGAGGACTTGGATTTTTTTTTTTTTTTTAAATCAATCTTTATTGTTCATATTATTACAAAGGTTCCTCATTTCTTCCCCCTTCCACCAGGTTCCCACCCCACCCTCCGCCCCCTCCCCACCCCCCATTGTCCTCATCCATAGGTGCACAGTTTATGTTCAGATTTAAAGTACATAAATGTGGAACTGAAATACCCACTGACAGCAGCTCTCTTGTATGGTGCTCAGACACTGCAGCATTTGCTTTGAGATGTCTGTCTGCTTCCACTGCTCAGCAAGCCCTCTTCTCCATGTCACACGTTTTCCTTTAGCTGTTGAGAAAGGAGGAAGCAGCCCACGAAAAGGCCCTGTTAGCCAGGGACTGGTGTTGCTAGGAGTTGGCCTGACCCAGCTACATAGTGGTTTATTGTGGAAATTTTCAACACAACATCAATACCAGACAAGGCCATTCTACAGCTGTGAGAAATCAAAACAAGTACCCTGCAATCATGTCTGAACACAGAAATATTTGTTGTCCAAACTACAAAAATGACCAAACAGACCCCTATGCTGGCCAATATGAATTAGTACATGCACCAATTACAACTTTACCCTCATTCCATTCCTTGTATCTTTTTATTGATAGATGTATTTACCCAAAGTATAGGTTTCTCTCTGTTCCCAAGAGCGTGCAATCCTGGGCAAAGCCGCAAAATTAGTGAACACAAACCCAAAACCTATAATAAATCCTAATACCCTCTTAGTGAAAGACACCACATCTCCTCACAGTATGTATTCTCTCGCTGCTAAGAGCAATAAACCCAACTTGTTCAACTACAGGTATGTTCACAGTGGTCTTTGGATAGAAAGCATGGATGAAAACACAGATTCATCTAAAGCACTCGCTGCTGGGACCAGGACTCTCAACTCATGAATAGCGTGAATCTCTGTATGAGGTGCCACCTGCTCAGGGCTGGGAGGTTAAATTCATGCTGAATTGAGTTTCTGTATTTTGTTGAATCACTTCAAGTTGAATTTATTATGTATCCTTAGGAATAAGATCTCAGAATTTTTTGTCTGGTCAGTGTTCTTTGGTAAAACTGTTTTTAGTCTTCCCTTACCTGTTTTCATTGATTGTTAGCTTGTTTAATATTTAGTGTTGTCTGTAAGAGGCAAAGTCTGTAGGAAGAAGATGGAGATAGGCCTAAAAAGCCTGTTTTGGAGCTGATCTCCAAGAGCTGAATATTTCAGAAGTTCTCCTCAGACCAGTGATCTTAGGACAAACTGTTTCAGGTAGCCATTTTAACTCTGATAGACTTCTTCCTCACTCTTGCTTTTTTGTCACTGGGTACTGGTTTGTTTAGTTTTCTCTGCCTGGAACTACGGGAAATGACTGGCCATTGGCCAAGTTCTGGGGATCAGAAAGTACACATCTTTACAAAACACTATTATTTCTCCTGGTTAGTCTAGAACTGCAGCTCTCCCAGGCCAAACACCTGCTTCCTTTATGTCTACTCATTATAACAGTAATTTGTACACCTATCTTTTAAATAGGCTCAACTTCATCAGGGATCTTTTGGAATTACAATGGTCACTTAAGCTTTTGACATGAACAAGATAGTTTATTTGAAAAGTACTTAACAGCAAAAGCAAATAAGCCCTCATGAGCAGATTGCCTGTCTGGTTTGTCTAAAAGAAAGATAATTTTTCAATGTAGGGCTTATCCCTCCTTCATTTCCATAACTGGAATTAAGTTGTGCTGGCTTTTTAATTGCATGGCTTGATAAAATTATCAAGGACCCAAGTTACTATCCAAATGTGCTGTCATTCGCTATCAACTAGTGGCTCAGTGCATGGATTCGTGCACACTGAAAGGAAATTAATTAGAAGTGTCAACCAAATTCATGATCAACAATGACAGATTGAAACACATGTGTGCGATCGGCACCAGCGAGAGCTTTATATGTATTGTGCCTGCACAAGTCAATGTTTATTTAAATTGCCAATGTGCATCATATGTACCAGCCAGTCGGATGGTCAGACGGATGGTTGGTCTCTTGGCCTTTTATATATATAGATACATTAAAATCTGTTTTCAACACCTAAAATTTTCTTCCTCTCCTTGGAGAAAAACACAAAATAAAGAGACCATTTCATATCTGCCTGAAGCCAGCTGGCTTCCTGTTTTTTCTTCTTGTTTTTATGTTTTCTGTTCCTCTTACTCTCCATTTCCCTCTATTGAGATAATAAACATTATCTGCTTTATAGAAATTTAGTTTTAAAATGCTTAGCATTCTAAAATACCTACAGTGCCTTTATGATTTAGTAAATTACCACCGTTTCTATAATTTTTTTAAAAATTAAACTTCATTAAAATGTTTAAAAGTATATTCAACTACATGGAATGATAATAATGTATTTTAAAATGGTTCTTTATGAATAATATTCTCATCTTTTATTAAAAGACAGTTTTAGTTGTCACCATATATTTCTGTAAAGAGTAAAAGTGTATCTATCCATTCCAGTGCCATTAGTAAAGTGAGCCAGCTTGTCAGCATTTGCTGTGTGGGGAAAATGTAATAACCTCTAAAGAAAGTTTTCTAGTTATATGTCACAGTATAAGCAAATTATGGGCTATCAAGGAGAGCAGCAATCCACCTGGTGAAAAAACTCTGTCCCTTCACACTCTGTCTCCTGTGTCCTCCAGGCCACGTCCTCCCACCTCTTTAGTGACTCCTCTTCCTCCGCCAGACAATTAGATCTCATAGATCCTCACATGCTGTTGGCGGTGGCTGTTTTTTATACTTTCACTTACATATCTATATATATGCCCTCTGGGTGATTTTGTCCACTCTGACCATTTTTAATCATGCGTTGTGAATTTTTTATCTCCAGACCAGACCTTTTCCCCTGGATTCATTCACATCCAGCTGTAGGTATTGTCTTTTGACCCCTGTGCCTTTGTGTATGTTGCTTCTCTGCTCAATACACCCTGTCATGTCAGGCTAACTCTTAAATCTAGACTTTACACAGATGCCACTCTCCCTAGCAGGCTGAGGGACACAGGTGTGTCTGTTTCCTGTTATGCCAACACCCTAGCGATCTCCCTTTCTTTACATGTAGCCTGCTAGATTATAACCACCTTTTTTTATCCTATTATAACACCATTTTTCTTGACAATAGTTATCAATCACAGGTATAACACATATGCACAATAAGTTGTTAAGCAAACAGGTTCCAATTTTAATTTGCATGGTGACTTAACAAACCATTAATTCCAAACTAGATTGTTGTGGGGAGTTGGAGGGGGGGGGAGTGGAAGGGAATGCAAATTAAGGCTCATAAGCATCAACCATTTATTGCACCTTTTTCTATTTAGACTGAGTTAGGGACATATTAATTAATAAAACAATCACTACACTTGTTATGATTTTCTACCAGATAAGTTTCAGGATTGTTAGAACGACGTTTGCCTATATGAGTAAGTCCCATAACTACTGCTACTCATTCTAAATCCATTTTCCCATAAAAATAAGAATAGTTCTATATGGAACACTTATTGCTCTCATTCACACTGTCTCATTGGCTTCTCTCCAAAATCCACTAAGGTAATAAATTCTGTTATTATTAGGCTCACTTAATAGATGACACTGAGGTTGAAAGAGACTGAGTAACATTTCCCAAGTCAGCCAACTATAATAGTAAGGAACAAGGTGGATTTGAACCTGTCTCATTCCAAAGAACTTGAGTTCTTAAACACCATGGCATATAACCTTTCAACCACTGGAAGGGGATTTATGAAGAGTTTGCATGAATTAGGCCAGTCATCGGCAATTATGAAGACAGACTACACCTTTGGATTCCAGGCACACAAAACCAAACAGACCAGTTCTGAGAGACACAAAGGCAAGGCTGGCCCTGCAGGAAAACAAATAAGCTCTGCCCAAGCCACAGCCTGCCCCACTGAATGACTTATCTCTGCAGGAAAGATTATGTGTGTCTATAAAATACAACTACGGATTACAAATCTATTAAAAATCGGAATTCAGATCCAATCAGTTTTTGTACTGATTTCTTCCATTTGGTCTTGTACTTGAAGAAATACTGGCCTTTTAAAGAAGCAACCATACATTGATAAGAGCTGTTTGCTCAAGGGTCACAGGCTGAATTGACTTGGCAGGAGGTATGCATTTTTTACTGTTAATAAATTATTGTTAAAAAAAAAAAAAAAACCTCTCAAAAACAGAAATGATGAGGGATTGATTGAACCTTGCAGCAGGGGTAGTATTTAAGGAGAACCTAAGAATTCAGGGCAGTGGCAAGTGGAGGTGAGGTGGCAGTCACTGCACCTGGTATCTTGCCTGGTCAGATATCAGGGTTCAATAGACAGACTCCTGAGAGGGGATATCTTCAGAGGGGAAGATTCAGAGTGGAAGAAAAGTGGGTTTTTTTGTTTTGGTTTTTTTGTATGATGTTTTGATGGCCTTTATCCTTATTTCTTCACCATTTCGGTAATAAACCTCAAGTGTTTCAGGAAATGAAGACTTAAATGTCACAACCAGCACTTGATTACTTTTTTTCCCCTCCACCACTTACCATGTCCCCAAAGTGGAAACATTGAGAACTATCCTAACAATTGGGCAGTAAAATTCAAACAAAACAAAAAAAAATCTTATTCGTTATGGTTACTTACACTTTCATCTAAAAGGGTAAACTCAAATCTTGTAGGAAATGGTACTTCTTTTATTTTATGGAGTGCCTAAAATATGCCTAATGTGTGTAGTAAGTGAACAATCTCAGTCCTCAAGGGGATATTATGGCTATTTTACATGAGAAAGCCTTCTGGATGAAAAGTGAGGAGTGGAGTAAATAGGTGGACATCTGGAACCTGTCCATGGTACGCTTGGGGTCTAATCTCCTCAGGAATTAGGAGGCAATAATCTGCTTAATGTAAGTGTGTGAGGCCCGGCCTTTGTACACCTCAAAGATGACCACATGGGAAAAGTATTGTTTAGAGATTAATTTAATCCCAACATTCAGTCCAGAAGCAGTGAAGTGACATAAGTACTAACAGAAGCTGAAAGCGAATCCTTTCTCTGATATCTGTTCATTGTACTGCCTTTAGCCATCAAGAAAAAAAGTGAACTCCAAGACAGTAGTTGACTTCATTTACTCCCGTCACCCATCACCTAGTACTGAGCATGGCATGTAGAGATGCTCAAGTACTGGGGAAGAATAGAGAAAGTCCATATGGGAAAATGGGCCAAAAACTACTAAGAATGAAGACATACTCTCCCCCCATGCCCCCGACGAAGACTTCAACCCTGACTCATAGGAGAAATGAATTCAAAGAAGTGAAATATAAATTGGGATCCTTGTTCTGAGCCCTATGGGCCAGCAGGAAGCAAGGGTCAACCAAGGACGGAATAGGATTGCTAGAGTTTACCTTTTAAATGTGAATTCTTGACTGAGATGTGTTTGTTCCTGCACTTAAGTCATCTGTCCTTACCTTTTTCTCATATCTCACATATTTATTAAAGCATTGCTTTAATAACATACTAGTACTTATATAGGCATTGTTGGAATGAGGCCATTACTTTAGGCCAGTGGAAGAGCAAAAGGGATTTCAAGCAGACTCTTTGTTGTTATAAAGCAAAATCAAACTTACTACATTCGAAAAGGAGTATAATATGTTGGAGACAAGCCCACTAAGAAGCTAGAAACTTGGGGAAATTGTCTTAAAAGCTCATAAGCATACGCTACTCATGACTAAAGGCGTTGCACACTGTTATGCAACATGAGTATCAGGGGAACAATTTTCCAACCTCATGACTCATGCTTCTGAATTACCCACAATCCTGGGTGTTTTCTTCATTTTAAAGAAATGTGAACGTAAGTGTGTGTACAAAAATATCTGATATCCAACACATGCCAACAACAGCTCACGGGTTAAGAAAAATATAAGTTGATGACTGTGTCATCAGAGTCCTCCTTCCAAGACGGAAAGTGATTCCACATTTTGAAAAGTACGAAAACTTCCTACCTCGACCAGCTGGGTCCCACCGTCTCTTTTCTAGAACTGGTTTCTGAATTGCCCACATAGGGCAGAAAAGCTAAAGCGTGGGAAGAGGCCATAAAAATAATTGCCGCCCCTACCGCATCCATACCTTCTCTCCCTTCTCCTTTGCCTGAAGGCGACCAGCTCTGCCCCAGGGAGAGCTCCCAACTCTGCCTCACCAGGCCCGGGGGTCCCTCCAGGTCTCCCGATCCGCCCATCACGCCTCCAGAGGGACCTGCGGACCCGAGCCGGGTAGCCGGGTGGGTGATCCGCCAGTACCTGCTCCGGAGGTCTCCGGCCGGCGGGCAGCGGGCCTCGCGACCACACAGCTCTCTCAACCACACAATTTTCACCGACTTTATTGGCCCCGACCCCGGCGGGCCCCTCCGCAGCCCACCTCCCCCGCTAGATCGCGCTGACCCTCCCTGGCATCCAGCAGGGTCAAACCCGCTGCGGGGGCGGCTCTGGAAAGAGCTTTTTTTTTTTTTTTTTTTTTTTTTTTTTGGCTCGGAAAGCCAGCTCCCCGGTGCCGGCGTCGGGATCACTTGCTCTTCGCCTTCTGGCTCTCCGTCTTCTTGGGCAGCAGCACGGCCTGGATGTTGGGCAGGACGCCGCCCTGGGCGATGGTCACCTTGCCCAGCAGCTTGTTGAGCTCCTCGTCGTTGCGGATGGCGAGCTGCAGGTGCCGCGGGATGATCCTGGTCTTCTTGTTGTCGCGCGCCGCGTTGCCGGCCAGCTCCAGGATCTCGGCCGTCAGGTACTCCAGCACGGCCGCCAGGTACACGGGCGCGCCGGCGCCCACCCGCTCCGCGTAGTTCCCCTTGCGCAGCAGCCGGTGCACGCGGCCCACCGGGAACTGCAGGCCCGCGCGGGAGGACCGGGACTTGGCCTTGGCCCGCACTTTGCCGCCCTGCTTCCCGCGGCCGGACATGGTCACCTGTCGCCTAAAGCTCCAGCGAGCGCAGAAGAGCCGGCAGTCCCCGTCCCGTCGGGTCCGGAGCGCAGAGTGGAGCACACCGGAACTGCCTCCGCCCGCGCGCGGCGGCCGCGGGGCAGCGCCGCCCCATTGGACGCCGCAGCAGTGCCGGCTCCGGTTCCCGAGGATTGGCAGGCGCCGTTCCCAATGAGCACGCGGGCGGAGGCACCGCCTTCTCCAGTTCTGTCCAATCAAGAGGGCAAGCCTCAGTTCTCATTTGCATAGCCGTCCGTGGGAAGGGGGTCTGCTTTTGGGGCTCCTCTGAATGCATTGGGTCCTGAGATTTCAAAGTCCGCGCTCCCATTCAGCAAAATGAAGTCCTAAGGTTTTTGCCCTGGCCGGTGCGCTCAGTGGTTAGAGCACATGTGTCAAACACAAGGCCCGCGGGCCAAATCCATCCCGCCAGGCCTTGCAATGTGGCCCGCACCGCGCTGTCATCACTGCACTCCGCTGCGTTTCCATCACAATGACAGTTTATGACTGTTCAGTAAACCATTCGGCCCGCGATTTAGGCTGGATTTTAGATTTTGGCCCCTTCTCTGATTGAGTTCGACACCCCTAGGTTAGAGCATTCCTCTCCCTCTCTCCCTCCCTCCCTCTCTCCCTCTCTCTCTCTTTCTCTCTCCCTCCCTCCCTCTCTCCCTCTCTCTCTCTCTTTCTCTCTCCCTCCCTCCCTCGCTCTCTCCCTCTCTCTCTCTCTCTCTCTCTCTCTCTCTCTCTCTCTCCCCCCCACTTCCGAATGGAAGGGTCGCAGGTTCGATTCCCAGTCCAAGGCTTGTGCCTGGGTTGCGGGGTTGCTCCCCATCCATCCCCCTGTGAGGATTAACAATTAAGGAAGACCCTAGCCGGTTTAGCTCAGGGGATAGAGCGTCAGCCTGCGACTCAAGGGTCCCAGATTCGATTCCGGTCAAGGGCATGTACCTTGGTTGCTGGCACATCCTCAGTAGGGAGTGTGCAGGAGGCAGCTGATAGATGTTACTCTCTCATCAATGTTTCTAACTCTCTATCCCTCTCCTTTTCTCTCGGTAAAAAATTCAATAAAATATATTAAACAACAACAATTAAGGAAGATCCAGAAGACATACTCTATCCTTAAGTACAAAGAGCTCAAGAAATAAATATCTCCTGAGGTCACGCACAGTGTGTCAGATGTCGCTGTGCCCTGTAAGCGGATTTTCTCACTAACATATCACAGCATCCTAGCCAGGTAAGAGCCTGCACTTGCGGACGACACTGGTCCTCAAGCGAAATCACAAACTCTCTGCCGAATTCTGCAGGCCCAGTACAGGGTGCGTTGCCTGTTCTTTTAAACAAGGTGCCCGCCCGGCATCCTGCAAACCCAAAGGCTCCAGCTGATTACCCAACTGGCTGGACCAGAAGCTTCATATGGAGTTGTTCATCTGAACTTGAACTAGATCAGATGACTCTGGGTCCTTGGAGCTGTGGAGTGATGAAACCAATGGTAAAGTGCCTGCGGAGGAGTGAGGGTGGGGAGAGAAAAGGAGGGAGAAGAAGAAAAAGGAAAAAATAAGGGGGGGGGGGTGCTCCTGGGAAGCAAAAAAAAAAAATTTATATTTTAAATAGCAAAAAAAAAAGGAAAAATCCATATTCATAAAATAAGAAACTGTTGAATAAACAATAAAAACAAATCTACAAGATTAAATACTACACTGGATTGGTTAAAATGAAATTAATAAAATTATTATCTACATAGGATAAGCGGAATAATGATTAGGATGAAATTACGTAGATCATTTTTATACTTGATTGTTTCTTAGTGATTTGTAGAAATTTTAAAGTAATCTGCACATGTTAGTCCTTTGACAATTAGACATATTACAATGATTTTTTAGTTGTATTTTCACTCTATATTATACTAAGGAATACAATTTCTTAATTCTAATGCAGGAGGAAAAAACTAGCTTTCCCTTGTAATTTTTACACTTTTGTGTTTGTTTTAAAAATTGAAGAACAGATGGTTTCAATCTTAAACTTAATAATAAAATAAGTAAAGAATAGAAGAAAAATAAAACAATTATCACAATTTGTTAGAAATTAGTATAACCTTGACACCAAAACCTTTTCTCATATTATAAAGGTATATTACAAACCAATATCACTCAAAACATGGATGAGAAAGCCAAATGAAATAGCAAATCAAGTCTAGCAATATGTAAACAAAACAAAAAAATGAGTAAATGGGGTTTATTCCAGGAATGCAACTTTCAACATGATAACACATGCTGATATAATTTGCTCATTAAAACATAAAAGTAGGAAAAGCATTTAATCATCTCAGTAGATGCAGAAAAACAGTACAATAAAGTGTTGTCTTATGATTAAAACTTGGAAAACTAAAAAAAAAAAATAGAAGAAAATATCACTGACATGATAAAAGAATCTAAAAAATAAGGTTAAAATGACTAAAGCTCACAGTAAATATCATATTTAATGGTGGAATATTTAAAAGAATTGCCTTTAAAATAAGAAAGATAAGCCTGGCCAGCGTGGCTCAGTGGCTGTTCATCCACCTATGAACCAGGAGATCACAGTTGGTCAAGGTCAGGGCACATGCGCTGGTTTTGGGCTCAATACCCAGTAGAGGGCGTGCAGGAGGCAGCTGATCAATGATTCTCTCTCATCATTGATGTTCCTATCTCTCTCTCTCCCTCTCCCTTACTCTCTGAAACCAATAAAAATAAAGTTTTTACAAAAGGAAGATAGAAGAGTACACATTCTCTAGTGATGTGGAGAGAATATTAAAGTTTGGTTATATTATGAGAAAAATGAGAAATGTCAAGAGACATTAATGGTTATTGGGAGATTAATACAGAAAACTATAATAAACTACCTTATAAATCTTTGTACTTTTCAAATTACTGCCACTCATCCACTTTTTTTCTTTTAATTCCTCATAGTCCTCTTAAAAATCCATTTATTCAATAAATGTTTATTGAATTTTGACTGCTATGTTCTAGGAGATAGAGATATAGAAATGAGTAAGACACATCAATTCCTTGATGTCATAGAGCTTAAATTCTAATGAGGCAAGCAAATTAATTAATTAACAAGGTAATATCAAATGATGGTAACTTTTGTAAATAAATAAATAAATAAATAAATAAATAAAGCAGGGTACTCTTAACAGAGAATGACTGGGGGACAGAGGTGTTCTTTAAACTGGATGATCTTGAGAAATGCCTCTAGGAGGTGCCATTTGAGCTGAAATCTGATAACAATAAAAGCACCAAGTGGCTGGAAGTTAAAGGCAGATGGAACCCCTGAGAAAAATGTCCTTAAGTGGGTGGAACTGAGCAAGGCAATGAGTGAGAGGCGATAAGACCTTCAACGTGGCAAGGTAATTATCAGGTAGAGAAATGAGACTTGTTGGGTGAGGGTCCCCAAGACATTTTATTTTATTTATTTTTTAAAATATATTTTATTTATTTTTTTACTGAGAGGAAGAGAGAGGGACAGAGAGTCAGAAACATCGATGAGAAAGAGTCATCGATCAGTTGCCTCTTGCACCCCCCCCCCCCTGGGGATGGGCCCCTTGACCGGAATCGAACCTGGGACCTTTCAATCCGCAGGCTGACGCTCTATCCACTGAGCCAAACCGGTTTCGGCTCCCAAGACATTTTAAGGGGTCACCAAAATCAAACTATTTTCATAAGAATGCTGGAATGTTATTTGCCTTTTCCTCTTTGTTGACATTCGTGTTAACAATTTAAAAGCAATGGTTGGGTAGAACTATTATAACCTCAGCCATAAATCAAGGCAGTGGTGCCAAACTATTCTAGCAGCTATTCAGGAAGAGATCAGGATTCAGGATATAAAATTAAGTTCAATCACCATATAGAGATTTTATAAAGCCATTATACAATATATGAGATTTTTTAGGAAAAGAGATGAGTAGCAGAACAACCTCCCCTTTACCCCCCAAATATGCTGCTTTAGTATGATGATGATTTTGCGCTGCAGGCACTAGAAAAACCACAAGTGCAGGGAGAGGCTTTCTCTGAACTCCCCGTATCTGCCTAAAAACAAACAAACAAACAAAAAAAAAAACACTAGATCTTCCAAAAGGAACTCAATTGTCATAAATCTCCTCCCAGGAGTTCCATTAACCAGGGAAAATTAACTCTTATCATGGGAGAGGAGACTAGAAGTTGACACCACACCCAGACAAACTTTGTCACAACGATAGCACCTCCCATCTGTTCTTCTAAGAACACACTTATCTTTCATAAAAAGAATGTACTCTTCCCTAAGTAGTACACACTTCCCCTCCTTTTCCTGTTAAAATGGTATAAATATTTAATCCTGAATTCTAAGTCACCTCCTTATCTGGGTATTTCCCAGGTATTCATGTGACTAAATTTCTGTTTGTTTTTTCCTCTGTTAATCTGTGTTTTATAACAGACGTCTCAGCTCAGAACTCAGAGGGGAGAGGGGACATTATTTCAGACCCTTCAGAAGCGTAAACACCCTGCAGGGCGCATGATCCTGTGAACTATCCTGTATTCCAACCCTAGAGATTTCCCTGCCTTGCTTTTCCCCACCTTCATGCAATCTTCTTTACCTTCAGTTTAAATCTAGTCCAAGTGTATAAAAAACTACCCACTGACATTCAGGGAAGCATTTTTGAGATCTCGTGTACCAGCTGTCAGTTTACCACAACTAAACTCCCATAAAAATTCTCCACGGGTTTGGACATTATTATGTTGACAGTCTTTATCTGAGAGCACTTTGTAGAAACCTGGAGGAGAACTTGAAACTTAACATTTCTAAGGCTGTCATCTTTTCCTCCCTTCTTAAAATTAAACTCAAAAGCGTTTAATTAAACGCTTAATTAAAATTAAGCGTTCAACTCTAAAACGACTTTGTTATTCCCACCTTTCTTCTCTCAAGATCAAGTGCCTAACCTGTTTTGTTTGGAAGTCTCCAGTTTTTCCTACATGAGCCATACAGAAAGCCCTCAACAGAAGCACATTGTACCCCGAGTGGTAGCTGTACAGCGATGACACCGGGTAATCGACACCAGA